TTACGAAAACACCGGTGTCCGTTTTCGGTTTGAATATGTATAACAGAGCACTAGTTTTACCGCTTTTGGCAAGTGATACTGCGGATTAAGTAATAAATACGCATGTTTCCTAAGTTTTTATGCATTAACGAATTCAATGAAACCAAGAAAATGTTCATGAAAAGTTTGAATAAGACTAAATTTAACGTTTGGCGCCAGTATGTAGAGCTGTCGTTCGTATCTCTTTCAGTGTATGACGCTACATTAAAAATGAGTTCCATTACGAAAAACTTTCATGGTTCTTTATAATTTAGTTTTACATATGTACTTTGAACGAAGTCTAATATTCAAAATAAGATTACTTTATCATTAGATTTACTTACAATATGAAAATTAGATGAATTCAGGAGAAAATGACACGAACTATTTGTCGCGGATGTTTATGCATATTTTCTATTGAATATCATCGGAGTAAATCAGCTGACACAGTAGCCTCGCTTTCGTCTCTATGTAATCAACACAAATTACTGCGCATGTTAAATACGTGATGACCATGGCAGATTGAACATAGTTCAACTCCCAAAAAATCAGCATGCATTACCAGGGGTTTTTCTAAAAAGATATCAGTTGATGAAAATTCTTGGATGATTCAAAGAAAATTATGTAAAAATTACTGCATATATTTGATGCATGTTTTTAGCCGGGCTTATTGCTCAAAGAGCAATTGCCGGCTTATGTGATCCTGTTCAAGGCAGGATGTTGACCCCATAGTCGCCATTTTAAAGTTACGTGCAAAAATATTGTTCTTACTCTCAACCGCTTTTGAGATAATACAAACGCTAAATAAAGCAACAAAAATAAAACGAAGTTTTATCTATATAAAATAAACATTAGTAGTAATGACTTTGAAAACTTCATAAGTCAAAGAACATAGTTCATTAGCGTAAGGATTTTTGATAATCAGTGTTACCATAGTTCTCTACACATACGAGGTAAAGCAGGAGAGGGAACCAGACTGGCCTGTATGTTTACATTCAGCTGCGGTACCAGATTAATTCTGATTCTGACAAAATCGGACCGTGGTATTAGGATTGAAAAACTCACTGTCAGTGTCTTACCATTTATATTGATAGTTTTAAAGTAATTTTTTCATCAGAATATAAACGTGATTCATGTAAGAAATTCATTCTACTCTGTAAATGAGCCCGGCTCTATGTACTTCTGAGTACTTTGATTTCTTATCCAAAATTGTTTTAGAAGAAGTGTACAAAACCATATACAGACATTAAAATACATGTAGAGCACACAATTCCATCAAGTATTGGAACTCTTCAACTTCATGGACAAATATAAAAGTGTTTAAACTACGTTGCGTATGTCCTTAATATACACATGTACAGCTATTTGTATTTTTAAGGTTAAAGTCAATATTTCAAAATTTGAAGTTTCCTTGAAAGATACAGAGGTAATCTGCCTAATTCCGGAAGGTATCGACATAAACTAACTGGGTTAAGGTTAAGACTAATATATGCAAGATTCCAACTTTCGTACAAAATCAAACATTTTGTACTACATTACTGAATCACCATTATTTTAGTATATATGCTACATCAGAGACAAGAAGGGGGACAACCAGCCCTTCAATGAGCATTTTCTATTGTTATTTTGTTTGGCCACTTCTCTTGATACTACGTACTTGTCAAGATAAAGTGTACTGTAACTTATAAACTCATATAGTCAGTATACAATAAAACGGTCACCTACCTGCGGGGTCCAGAGTATAACCCAGTAACACGAGGATCCTCAAGGATGTAGACATGAGGATTTATTGTGAGTTTATAATTTTCTGTGTTTCGTTATAAGCTCTTCACATCCTCCCCCGGGATTTGACCAGGATCTCTAGATGAATATGTATTGAGTCCAAGCAGGATAGCGGTTATTTCGTAATCAAGTTGTTCAGTCATTATAAGCTGATGTGGCTATTTGTGGTTATGTTAATTACACAGTGCACATTGGAAACGAGAATGTTTTTATTGTTCTTTATTTTGATAACTGAAAAGTAAAAGCAAAACAGAGAAAAGATTTTTAGGATTATTTTACAATATGTACATTTATAGGCTTATAACTGTTGTTATTACTATTTTTATTATTTTTCATTTTTCAGTGATTTGATTTGAACATATTTTTATATTGTTTAACACAAAAGGATCATAAAGAACATGAACAAGTTCTTATCCATTTTTCACGAGATATCATTTTGTGATTTTATTTAAACAAACAAACAAGAGGTCAATGGGTCACATAGCTCACCTGAACACATGACAGAGACACCAGTTCAGTATTGAAAAGATTATATATTTAAGTGGTCCTAACTAACATTGGGACAAACTTAATTAAACAAAATTGAATCTACATTCATATTTCTTTGACAAATCATGGCTTAAGAGGATTTTTTTTTAAATTTTTTCCCTGTTAGTTTGATATACGAAGATAAGGAGCAGTATTCGAACACAGACAAAAAAATCAGAGTCGCAGTCAGGTTCTATTGAGGAGTGAGCATCCATTATCGGTCACACCCACCATGTGCCCTTTTTAATGATCGGAAAATACTAGTACACAGAAAAATCCGTAGAAATTCAGTGTTTAAATAATGCAGTAACAATGAGTATAAAAAATCCTAGTCATAATTTTAATTAGTGATTGATTGTTTTTGCTGACTTTGCTGACTTGACAAAATCTGAGGAGCCACGATGCATAAACTGACAAAATTCGATGATATAAACCAGATACTAGTAGTATTTAGAATATCGAAATTAAACATTACCTTTCGAAAGTATGACATTTCAGTCGACATAATCCCAAAATGAATAAAATGAAAAAAGCTTGATAATTCTTAGCCACTTATTACCTGAAATATTTAAATTAAGGTCTAAATTTAAAAAAAGGTAACAATGTCCTACTTTTAAGTCGACTAACTTTGTGTACTCAAGATGCATCAATCTACAAAGTTTGGTGATTCTAAGCCAGTTAGGCTAGTACCAAAAATTTTATTTTAATGTAAGATTTCAAAAATAGGTTATATTATTCAACTTTTCAGTCAACATACTCCGAGGACCAAGCATGTCTGACAAAGTTTGATGATTCTTAGCCAATTAGTACCTGAAATATTTATAACCCCCGCTTGAAAAGCGGGAGGGTATATAGTAATCGTTAATTCCGTCCGTCCATCTGTTACGCTTTGGGGTACCCATCTCTTATCCGCAACTCCTCTCATACCACTGAATGAAATTTGATAAAACTTTCACAGAATCTTTATTACATATTGCCATTGTGCACCTCCTATTTTACTTTTTGATCCGACACATATTTTGGGTTTCACGGCCACAGCAAAACATGAACTTTGCCATTATAACTATGTGGAGGCTGGGGGTATCATTTAGTGAGCTCATCGCTCACAGTACCTCTAGTTAGATAAAGACATATAATTTCAAAGTAACCTGTTTACGACGGTCTAAACCCAGCTCACGTTCCCTATTAGTGGGTGAACAAGCCAACGCTTGGTGAATTCTGCTTCACAGTGATAGGAAGAGCAGACATCGAAGGATCCTCAAAAATAGGTCACGGTGATCAACGTTTCAGTTGTCGTAAACCAAAAAAGGACCCAAAATGCATCAACTGAAAAGAAATGGATTTTTATTAACTAATAAGTAACCGAAATATTTTAATATAAAAGCCATATAATTTCAAAAGTAGGTCATCATGACCTAGTTTTCAGTCGACCTACTCCGAGGACCCAAAGTACATCAACTTACAATCAATGATGATTTTAATCAAATTAGTTCCTCTAATGTTTATTTACATGCTAATTTTTACACAGGTGCAAAAACATTGTGATATGCTAAAAATAGATTATTTCAGACATCATTTTTTTTTACAAAAAAAAAAAAAAAAATCGCTAAAAAGAAAACAAAGATGTCAAATCACATTCAATATCAAAATGTATTTACCTTTTTCATGCATCTTTAAAATGAAGGCAAATTCATAATAATTCATACTGCATGAAAAATTATAATGGAACACAATGTAAGTATCACCCCATTTTTCTTGTCGTATTTTTAAAATTCTGTTTTGTATAATAGGTAATAGCTTTAGAAGCTTTTGTGTAAAAATGTTGGAATTCATTTCTTTCGAAAAAATGAACTATCTTTTCATTTTCTTAAATTAAAAACTTTACTTTTATGATAAAATAAACGAGAGAAATGTAGTTTTCTATAAATTTCGTACTCTTGTGTCATACTATTAACCTATCCGCAATAAGACAAACTTAAGTAGGTACTGACGAACATCTGAATATGAAACTCTTTGCTAAAATAGTATTCTGTTTTGATTAGTAACAATTTATACACTGATTTAATCTTTTCATCTTGATTCCAATCATTCTGCCCCCCCCCCCTCCCGTCAACAAACAACACCTTTAGGAATGGCATTACAATATTAAATCTACTAATCGATAAGCAAATAAAGGTACAAGTATACATTTTTTTAAATTTCGTCTTTAGCTTTATCAAGAAAATACAATTAATGTTATTCATAAGATAAACATATTTTCCTGATTAAGGACGCTTTCTTTGTCGATTTTATATTTACCTCTTATATCAGCATAGTATTGAGATATTTTATATCAGCATAGTATTGAGATGTTTTTCCATAACTAAAATGCTATTAGATATCAACCAACGGAAGAAAATTCTAATATCAACAGACTCTATTCTCCATCAGCATACGTTAGTATCGAGATCATGTGAGATTGCAAAGCAACTCCCAGAATTTAATGCGAAGTTTGACCCAGATTCGATCAATCGTGGAATTTTACGCTCTATATTTTATTTGGATTTTACCTTATTTTGTGATATTTATAGTATATTTTACGATTTAGTTGGACAGTGAATTAGTGCGGAACATTTGCGGTAAATTCAAACGGTTATTTGAACTGTGCAGTTACACATTGACGAAGTTCAATAATGGACGAGGAGCGTTCTTCAGGCTCCGACGCCATTTTGGGGGATTTTCTTACACAAGTGATGTCTACAGAACAGTCAGACACGCATCATGAGCAAGATGTACATAAAGGTGCAATGAAATCTCGTAAGCGAGATGCACTTAATAATGAACATTCGTCGCAAGATACCCATAAGTGGGGAGACGATGATTCTCTGGGGACTAGCGCAAGGGTGCTAGATTGCGTAATTACGCAAGAGACTCATGAGAAACAAGATCGTGTTAACAACACTGAATTTGTGACAGAGACTATGTTTAAGAAATTCATGGTCGACCAAAATCTGGCGATGCTTGCCATGAAAAAATCTTTGGATGCAATTAACAATATGATTTATGTGGAAGCAGAGTCGACAGATGAGAGTGATTCGGATTTGGTAAAAAATTCAGCCAAAAGAAAGTCTGAAAACGTTACAGAAAATGCGTCAAAAAAGGCTAAGATCAGCAGCGAGTCAGAGTCGACCGCGCGTGGAAAATTACCCGCTGTCAGTCAAAAGGAGGCGGGGCCTTCAGACTTGGGCGGATGTGACGTAGAAGGAAACAAAAATGGCGGCTCGGATAAACATGAGGAAGATCACTCTCTACCATCGGCTCATACATTCACCTCTGTGGTTGGCTCGCGTATACACAGTGTTAAATACGAGAAATAGTGCGTTTGTTTTAATTCATTATAATTCAATTTCTATGATTATGTCTGAGTTTTGAGATAGATGTTTACTAAATCAATACAGAACTATTTATTTCAATTGAAACAATCCTTCAAATATCACGTTTTATACGTTGTGTCAAAAATCTTGACGTGAGCCCATTGCAGAGGTGTCTGAGAGAGGAACGAACGACAACTCTGCATAGGAGATTGGAGGAAGATCTGAATCATCTGTTTGCGGTTTCCAACTATATTGTAGAGGAAAAAACGTCAGATGGTGTTGCTACTAAATTGGCAGACTTAGTTAATAAGTTTTTAGTTAACAAACTCGAGGATTCGAAGAAAAATGACTTATTTCAATTTGATAAGCATTTACGACCTGAGAACTGTAAGTTGGAATTTCCTCGAGTGAATGATTTTGTGTGGAATTACTGCATGAACGAAACTACGAGATCGACGGATGTTAAGGTACATAAAATTCAGAAAACCTTATTAAAAGGACTTGGTCCGGTGATCAAAGTGGTAGATAGTTTGCTGAAACCTAACAATGACTTTGACAAAAACAAAGCTGCAAAAGATCTACTCGATGGCGTGGCCATGTTGGCCTCTGCTAATACTGAGATTTCTTTGCACAGAAAAGCGTGTATTAAAAACAACATGAAACAAGAATATAAGAAACTGTGCACAAGTCAGACTGAAATCACAGCATACTTGTTTGGTGATGATGTGGTTGACAAAATGAAAAACATTACTGAACATAACAAAATGGCAAACAAGGTAGCGTATGAAGACAAAAGCTCCAAAACGAGAATGAAATTCAATCCTCGCCTAAAGTTCAAAGAAAGAGCTAAAACAAATTTTTTAGGGAGAGGACCCCAGCACTACCAGCTGGGGAATTACAGCAGGAACTACCACCACAACAATCACGACACAAAGAAAAGCTACACGAAGAAATCTGCGTCCCACCAGAAGTAGAGAAGGTAGGTGACATTCAACATGCTGGGCGAATTAGCCATTTTCTACCTGTGTGGAAATCTATTACACAAGATAGATACATCCTTGATGCTGTCAAAGGATATTCATTAGAGTTCACTTCTTTACCTGTTCAATGTTCAGTGAGAGAAACTAAACTTAATGCTGCAGAGGCAGTTGCTTTAGACAATCAGTTATCAAAGCTAATGGCTAAAGGGGTAGTGGAGATAGCTTCACACTCTGCAGGTGAATATATCTCGACTGTGTTTTTACGTCCAAAAAAGGATGGTAACTATCGAGTTATTTTGAACTTAAAACAACTAAATGAAAACATTGAGTATGCTCATTTTAAAATGGAAAGACTGTGTACAGCTTTAAGATTAATTCAACCTGGATGTTATATGGGTTCTGTGGACCTAAGTGATGCATATTATACTGTGAATGTAGCTTTCTCTGACAGAAAATATTTCAGATTCATATGGAAAGGAACCCTGTATCAGTACACTTGTTTACCAAATGGCCTTTCAAGTGCACCCAGGCTTTTTACAAAACTCCTAAAGCCTGTGTATGCTTCACTCAGATCTAAAGGACATGTGTCAGTTGCATACATCGACGATTCCTATTTACAAGGAGAAACATATGAACAGTGTTCAAGAAATATTCAAGATACAAAAGAACTCTTTGAACAATTAGGTTTTAAAATCAATAAGGAAAAATCTATGGTTGTACCTACACATGAACTTGTGTTCTTAGGATTTGTTTTGAATTCTAAATCAATGACAATCAGCCTCACTCCAGAGAAGATAAAGAAATTTAACAATCTTTATAAAAAATTTTGTTCAAAGAAATCATACTCAATTAGACAAGTTGCGGAACTAGTAGGAGTTCTTATTTCGTCTTCGGTAGCAATTCCTTTGGGAATGTTATACACTAAAATACTTGAGAGAGAAAAGGCCATAGCCCTTAAATGTAACAAGGGAAATTTTGATTCAAAAATGACATTATCAACAGAGGCACTTCAAGATTTAGAATGGTGGTCAATACAAATAAAAAGTGGTATCAAAGCTCCCATTCGACAAATGTGTATAATTTACTATTAGTGAAACACTTACTACTGATGCATCAGGAATAGGTTGGGGGGCAGAATACTGTGGCGTTTCTACAGGAGGACATTGGTCCATAGAAGAAAAACAGTACTTGCCTAACATTAACTTTTTGGAATTACATGCTGTTTTGCTAGGCCTACAAAGTTTTCTTGAAAAATTGTGTAATAAACATGTGAAAATTTATTGTGATAATTCTACCACTGTAGCATATATTAACAATATGGGTGGTACAAAGTCCACTGCATGTAACTATAAAGCCAGAGAAATATGGGTGTTAGTGCATAAAAATAATATGTGGTTAACAGCTGTTCATTTACCAGGTGTTGAAAATGTAGTGGCAGATAGGGAGAGTAGGATGGTTCGAGATGAAACAGAATGGATGTTGAACGAAAAACTTTTTAAGACTTTAACTTGTGTATATTTTAAACCACATATTGATCTGTTTGCATCTCGACTTAACAAACAGTTAGAACAATTTGTGAGTTGGAGAAATGAACTTGGCGCATCTTTTGTTGATGCTTTTACAATTTCTTGGACTAATTTGTCTTTGTATGCTTTTCCTCCATTTAGCATTATCGACCCGGACCGGGTACTAGTATGCCAAAAAATCCTGATGGACAAAGCCGAAGGCCTGCTGGTCACACCTCTGTGGGACACACAGAATTGGTATCCAATCATCTTGAGAATGTGTATGAAACCACCACTTGTTCTGAAACCATCCAAAACGATGCTGCAGCTGAAAAACAATCCTACAAAAGTCCATCCTCTGGCAAGAAAACTTCATCTGATGGTGTGCCATGTTTCAGGGAAAATTTCCAGAAACTCGATTTATCGGAAAGATCAGTTTCAGTACTTATGAAATCATGGAGAGGCTCCACGTGTAAACAATACAGTGTGTACATAAAGAAGTGGTTTCAGTATTCAAATGAAGTACAGTGTAATAGTTGTATACCAAACATTTCTAATGTGTTAGATTTTTTAGCATCGCTGATGACAGAGGGTTGTGGTTACAGTGCCATAAACACAGCTCGATCAGCTCTGTCAGGATTTATTATTGTAGATAACATGCCTGTAGGTCAGCATCCATTAGTTAAAAGATTTTTGAGAGGTGTATTTAACATTAAACCTTGTTTGCCAAAATATGGAATTACTTGGGATGTAAATATAGTGTTAGAATACCTTAAATTGTTAGAAAATGAGACTTTGTCTTTTCAATATGTGACATTTAAGTTAACTATGTTACTAGCTTTGGTGTCAGGACAACGTTGTCAGTCGTTAGCTTCTTTAGATATTGAAGATATGTACATAAATGATGAGTGTGTAGTATTTAGGTTTAATGTGTTACTCAAACAAACAAGACCATCTTTTCAAGTTGAGCCTTTAGTGTTAAGAAAATTTTTCAGAATGTCCTTCTCTGTGTGTATATTCTCTGTTGAAACTTTATTTAAAGAAAACAGCAGATATTAGAGGAGATACCACCAAATTATTATTAATGGTTAGAAAACCGCATAATGCTGTAACCAGTCAAACCATAGCACGATGGATCAAACGAGTGATGACAGAAGCTGGAATTGACACAAACATTTTCAGTGCACATAGCACACGTTCTGCTGCAACAAGTGCCGCTAAGTCTATGGGACTGTCGCTCACCAGCATCATGAATGCTGCAGGATGGTCTAATTCGGGAACATTTCAAAAGATTTATAACAGAACTGTTCAATGTGATAACTTTGGACTGTCAGTTTTATCAAAATATTCTACAGTAACTGATGATAAATCTTAACATGTTTTGATAATTGATTGCTGTAATAAATTTGGTAAATTTTACATATTGTCAATGGTTTCTGCAATATTAAGACATATTGCTTAATTGACTAATTGCTTAATAAAATGTCGTGACCACGCTTTAAATCTCTCACATGATCTCGATACTGACGTATGCTGATGGAGAATTTAAAAATTAAACGATACTTACCAAGTAGAAGTTTGATTGTAATTCTCCGAAGTATACGTCAGTATTAGAGATCAGGTGCCACACCGCACCCACCCAGTATTGAGAGTTTTGTTTTGTGGTCACAACATCTTTAAAGATTGAATTCTGGGAGTTGCTTTGCAATCTCACCTGATCTCTAATACTGACGTATACTTCGGAGAATTACAATCAAACTTCTACTTGGTAAGTATCGTTTAATTTTTAAATTTAATCAAATAAAGCTGCTTTTAATTATATATAAATTTTCCTTTTGTAAATTATGTTCGCTATTGACTTTAAAGAATGTTAGGGCTAGATGTTTATCACAGTTGCAAACACATTTATGTAAAATTCCAAAGGTATAAAAGAAACGTCGCTATTGTGGCGTCAAATAACGCTGTTCTCACGTAGAACGACATAGGTCCCCCTTTATTATAGCAATATATAATATGTATGTCTTAGTGACCTACTTTTCAGTCGACGTACTCCATGTTCTCTGATCGAGGATCCAAGATGTATCCACAGACAAATTTAATTTGCTGATTTTGAGGCAATCAGTTTTGAAATATTTAGTTAGAGCCATATGAATTGAAAAGTAGGTCACTGTGGCCTATGTTTCAGTGGGTATACTCGGGGGATCCAAATTGTAAATTAACTATCAAAATGGGATGATTTTCAGCCTATTTATAAATACCTAAAATATTTAATCATAGCCGCAGGTACTTGTGGACAGGACACCCCCCTCCAATATTCAACCCCGGCGCTTATTGAACATTTTTTCACAAATTATATTTATAACACTTATTCATCATGTGTACAATAGGAAAAAATCGTAAAACCCCCAAAATAATCACTCCACATAAAAATACCCTACTATACATTATAATAGAGATAAAATTTCAAAAGTAGATCACGGTGACCTACTTTTCAGTTAGTATTTTGGGGGACCCAAGATGCATCAACCAACAAAGTTTTATGATTATATGCCTTAAAATGTCCAAAATATACCTCGAAATCGAATGCCTTCAAAGTTCAAAAGTACGTGTAGATCACTGTGACCTACTTTTAAATAATTTTGTTTTATGGCCCTAGGATGCATGTACCACTTCAAAAGATTTAATAATACTTAACCTCTCAATACTGAGAGGTTATGACCTAAAATGTTTTGAAAATGATTGGCCAAAAAGTTCAATAAGAAGGTCATAGTGACGTACTTTTTAATAGACATACTCCGAGGACCCAAGATATGCATCAACTCACATTTGATGATCATAAGCATTAAACTGTTTGAAATATGCCTTGAAAATCATTCACCCCCCCCCCCCAATTTTTAAAAAGTAGGTCACCGTGACTTACTTTTGAGTTAACATTATATGAGGTCCTTATCTTCAGAAACTGACAGAATTTCAGAATCCTTGTACTGGCTCTGGAGTGAACTTGAGACCACGCCCTTTGCCTCAGGATGATGCCTAGATGCTTGAACAATTTTTAATTAAGCTTCAATGAAATATATGGAGATAACGAACAGTATTCAAGATCAAAATTCCATAAAACAATACAAAATAGGAGGAGAGCAAACACGCAGACCTCCAAAACATCAGAGATGGGATCATGTGCCATGGAGGAGTGAGCATCCCCTACCAACCGGTCAAACCCGCCGTGTGCTCCTTGTCATGAATGGGAAATAACTGACAAGGTCATTGTATCGAACATACAGAACTTACGAAATGATAATTTTAAACAAGACTCTTGTTTCATCAACTTGTTTGTCAATAATTTACCTCGTTTTAGAATTTGTGTTCATACGTAGAGCATGCTGTTGCGTATCGGCGGAATCAGCTGAGATACATAAACTCCGTATGCAGGTCTTTTTCAAGTAAAATATCAAAATATGAAACAGATGTGTCAGACTCTGTGGTATCTTTTATCTCAAGCTCACAAGGATACATCGTATCGACATATAAGAATGAAAATTACCATTGTCAATTGACAAAATGTCGTCGATATATCTAAATGTCGAGTTGAAGGCCACAGCAAGTGTTAATTTTCTTCTTTTCACGCATAAGAATTTGCACAAATTCTGCTTCATATGATTACAAAAATAGGTCTTCTAATAACTGGGCGCAATTGTTACCCATGGGAATTCCAATACGTTTTTGGAAGGCGTGGTCTCCAAAAACACAAAGATGGTTTCACTCAGAAACTCAAGCATCAACATATCCTAATCTTTGTAAGTTTGGTGATAATATTTGCCTAGTGGTTCTTGAGAAAAAAATTGTTTAGCAACAAGTAGTTTTGGTTTCATTGTCATAATTATCTCCCCTTGTTATAGGGTCACATTTTAAGTTAAAGTATAAACAAGGCCAAGGATACTCTGTGAAAATTTGACAAAAATTATGGTTCTTTGGTTATTGTTCATATATCTTATTCTAGAAAATTTACCGCATCGCACAAATGGCCAAATGCATACCCTTACCAAACTGATATGTTTGCTGCAGGCCTGCAGCAAGTCTGCTGCAAGCTTGCAGCAAACAAAATTGTTCGCAGGAAAAAAAAATCTTGTTCGCAGATGATTGCCGCAAGCTGCGATCTTGCGGCAAACATTGCAGCAATTGCTGCAAGCTTGCAGCAAATTCGCAACCCAACATGTTCGCAGGAACATTGCAAGAAACATACACGCCAATTTAATGTTCGCAGCAAGTTCGCATGAAACATTAGATAAATTGAATGTTCGCAGGAAGTTCGCAAGAACAGTAAACAAGTCAAATCAGCCAATGAAATGCAGAGTGTACTGGTTAACACGGAATTCACCATTTTGAAATGTTTGAATTGAAGTTGTACATGTTTCAGTATTTTGTTAAGAATAAATACTGTTTTGAAGGATTACAGTTGCAAAACTCTGGATGTAGGTGTACGTACACTGGTATCTATAACATCTAATTGTAAGATCTGATTTTGTTTTATGCTTAAAATCATGTTAAAGTAACTGTTGTAACTGTCAGGTCAAATCTAAATCTGTTTATTATGAATTTCAGTCCTCATCTTGATATCACATTCGTATGCTTCTTATGTGTATCAAAGGTCCCAAATCATTTACACTGTATCATAGTTATGGTAACTAGTATATGCTTTCAAATAATTTAATTTTACTTGTAACACGTCATTTGATTGGATAAAAGATTTTATCCATTTTGTATAACATAACTTGCCTACATCACAATGAGTTACGTCAGAAAACGTATTACTCCGCTGGACGTTACTTTTGAAATTTAATCAGTGTGAAGCCTTATTCTGGAAGAAAATTGTCTCATTGTCTGCACTGAAATTAAATTATAAGGAATGAAGCTTATTTCAACTTATATTATACGATATAACAAAACTTGGGGCAGTTTACGCTTTTTTATAAACCGCTTCGCGGTTTATAAAGCGTAAACTGCCCCAAGTTATGTTATAATACCGTATAATATAAGTTGAAATAAGCTTCATTCCTTAAATAAATTAGTAACTGTAATACATGTATTTAATTATAAAATTATGTGTAAAGTTCTTTGTTTTCTGTATCTATACATATAAGAAAAATACTATAATGCACTTTTATTAAGGAGAGTATGGAAGAATTGTCTAAACACATAAAGAAAGTTTATCAACACTTCAGGAACTTGCATCATTTTAGACACATGTGGTGGATTTAAGGAGGAATGCCACACCAACTGTTTATTTTATAGATCTCTGAGTCAACCTTTTTAAACAATGGTTTCAGCATCGAAAGGTCGACATTAGCTTTTAATTATTTTATATGAAATTTTTTGTATTTTTTCAAAGAAAATTCAAAAAAAATATTTACATCCAAATAAGATGCTTTCTTTTAAAAATTTTGCTGTAAATGAATGCATCACATGAATACCAAATAAAATATGATTGTAAAGAAAAGCCGTATAGATATTAAATTTTTTAAAATAAAAAAAAATATGAAAATAAAACACATAATTTGTGAATATTTTTTAAACTTGTGGTTAAAATCTTCTTAAAACCTGTCACAAGTGGTGAGAACATATTCGTTAATCATATTCATAAAAGAAATTGAAATGAAATAACCAAATTTTAGAGAAATAATTTTTTTTAATTTTGGCCAATCCCGATCAAAATAAACCGATCCCAACCATAATTGTACAATTATCGAAAATAAATAACATTTCCTGAAGAACACTAGTCTGATTAGGTGTAATATGGGTTAAAACATTATTGAACCTGACATTTAAATAGATTTCTTCTTTGTACATACATGAAGAGGCAATAAATTAGCATTTTATTCATTTTGTGTGAATTTTGATCGGGATCAGTTTAATTTTGATCGGGTTAGGCCCAAATATAAAAAAATTGATTTCGCTAAAATTTCTCAATTTCGTTTCAATTTCTTTTTAAAATATGATTGACAGACATGTTGTCCTTAGTTGTGACTATTTTTATCGTGTTTTTATCCATAGGTTTAAAAATATATTCACAAATAATGTTTTTTTATTTTCATAAATTATTTTTTATACAAAAAATTAAAAAGTCTAACCAGCCTTTCTTTACATATTTTATTAGATATTCATATATGATTCATTCATTTACAGCAAACTTTTAACTCGAAAACAAATTATTTGGATATAAATAATTTTTTTCATTTTCTCCGAAAAAATACAAAAAAAAAATTCATATTAAATAATTAAGAGCTAATATCGGCCTTTCCATGCTGAAACCATTGTTCAAAAAGGATGACTCAAAGATCTATAAAATAAAAATTGGTGTGGCATTCCACCTTAGAAACCATAAGGAAATTGTTTGCTGCAAGTTAGCAGCGATGTTTGCCGCAAGCTTGCAGCAAGCTTTCAATATTTGGAAAATCTAGTGTTTGCTGCAGACTTGCAGCAAACCTCATTTGCATGGTAAAATGTTTGCAGCAAGCTTGTTGCATACTTTGCGCAAACTTGCTGCAAACACTAAGGCTTTGTATAGACTATCTTGCTTTCCTTGGTTACATTGCAGCAATGTCTGCTGCAAGTTTGCAGCAATATTTGCTGCAGACTAAATGCAGCAACTATTTGCAGGAAGGCAATATTTTCGGTAAGGGTAGAATTAGCTCTTTGCCTCAGAAAGCTACATGTAACATTCTATTTGACCTGAATGTCAAAATTTGTTGGTTTTTTTTTTTAAAACGTAACATATATTTTTGTCCTGTTTCTTTTGTCATGTTGAAAATTTTGTATTTTTAAAAATACTGCCACTCGTATCCGGTATATAGATAGTTTTCTTCGATTGGCCATAATCTAGCAAGAGTTATTTTTCCCGTTGGCTGACATATTGGAGGTCCAAATGCCATATTCATTCATTGTTCAGTCAATTTTATTTTTTATGAAACATATGTCATGGAGATACAGTATTCAAGATCAAAAGTCCATAAAACAAAACAAAAACACGGACCTCCAAAACATCAGAGGTGGGATCAGGTGCCATGGAGGAGTGAGCATCCCCTGCCGACCGGTCACACCCGTCGTGTGCTTCTTGTCATAATTGCATGGGAAATAACGGGAAAATCCGTCGTCAATTCAGTGTATAAATGTATATAGGCCTATACCGGTATGCAATTTTGGGGGTAGGAACCATTTCTTTGAAGAACATGTATATATTTTTGGAAGCCTCCTTTGTTTAAAAAAAAAAATAATGAAGATTTTCCACCTTGAATATTTCTGCTATTTATCTTAACTTTGGTAAGACAAACCAAAGAGTAAAATCACCGACTCGACCTCCGCCATATGGCGGCCAACGTGAAGTAACTCTTGCTAAATTCAGACCTATCGAAAACTATTCATTCAAAATTAAGGTAATCCGATTTTCAGCCAGGAAGGATTACTCTTTAATTTATAATTAAATTCAAAAATTCTCAAAATGAAGCTTGAAAATTAAATCTTTTCATGTGACAATTTTCATTTTATACCTCTCAATGTGTTTTAAGGTCCTTTGAAGTTCTCAGAAAGGTCTTATAAAAAGTCGAAATTTTTACGCTATAAAAATTATTTTAAAATTACATATTTAAAAAAATTGAGGTTCATTTTCATCTAACCATAGATACCAATGTTTATTAACATGATATGAAATTAGAAGTGATTAATAGTGTTTTGCAGTGATAGGAAAATCTTTGTACACTTTGCATTGTAAAATGATTGAAGTAAAATTTAGAACAACTGAATTTAACAAAGAATTTTCCTAAAAATTTACTCACTTACAAACTCACTCACATCTAATCTTTGACAACTCCGCCCACTTTCGTACTGACCAGCCAATTAAATTAAGGATAGAACATTGCAAGAACAGGGGGAATCCGTATGACATTAATTTACAACACTGAAATTAGGTAGAGCTAAGCATAACAAATTCAAAGAACACGATCCTAAGATCTAACCATAAAGTTGATAACAAGTATGAGTAAATGACATTGATATCGTGAGACAGGAAAGAGATGTCAAGAATTAGATATTGCTAACATGTGCAAAAATGTCTTTCCTAAACATCAAATGAAAACAATTAACTTTCAACTACAGATGTCAAACAAGACCGAAAAGTAATAAACAATTATGTATAAATATATTCATAATTAAAAATTTGTCATTTATAAACCCTTATAACCCATAATCATAACATCCGCCCACAGAAAATAAAATTGTAAAACAATTTTACATGGGGTTAATAAATGCAAATTAATATTTAAAAAAAATGAGGATTACACAGAAAAAAAATAAACAAATGTCACACAATTTACAACATGAGTAAAAACTCAAAACAATGTTCTCGTACTTTCACTTATCATTAAGCTGTACATTAGAAACATATTAAATTATAATTGTAAAAATAGGCATAACCCGTAATGACACAAATAATTGAAAAATAAAACTTCCATCTATCATGTAAGTACCATGGTTTACAAAACAATTAGCGTGGAGACATTGATATACAGCAGCTAAAATAATTACTTAGATAAAGGATGACTTCGAAACAGCCACAATCAAACAGTAATTAATAGCAAAGCTAGTAAACATTGCTCTCTCACAGAGTCGGTCACTCAACTTAATTAAATTATCTCCTCAGCACCACGAGACGAGCTCCTGCAGTTAAATAACTAGAGCAAATTACCTTCTCGGACAAAAATGCTGTGAAACATAATTCACTCCAAATAGCAATGATCTCAAAATCCAATCATAAATCAAAATATCTATACAAGGCGCCAAAATGAAAAATAAAATACAAAACAAAATCAACTAACAAGAATTAAAAAAAAAAACTACACATAACTAGAAAACTGACCAGTCAGCAAGGGCCCCGCCATGGGGTAGAATTAAAAGGGTGCAGCTTACGGAATGATTAAAAAATGTACGAAGAATAAGCAACAGCAACTGTATTCTTAAAATTTCAAGATAATTCCTGAATATTCAAAAACCTGAAAATAATATCCTTGTATTTACATTAGGCAGTAAAGAACAACTTAACATTGAATGTATATTTAACCCTTTAACGGCCAGAGATTTTGCAATTTTTCTGCATAATTACCTAAAAAAGTTCAAATAGAATTTTAGACATTTTCAAGTCACTTTTACATAGAGTAACCTATATATTTTCTGAAAGGTAAGATCCTAAAGTATTTGATTATGCAGAGTAATTTGACGTCACGGTTGCCATGGCAACGATTGAGACCCATAATTGCCAAAATATGTGCTTTTCTCCTTTTATTCTTCCCTGAAATACAAACAATTTTACAAATAATGTTTCCAAACCAGAGGATTTGGTGTTACTATTAAAACAAAGCATGCATTCAATTAGTTTTTAGTTTTGCTGGTCAATTTTGTTTAATAGAAAGAGTTTATACAATTACACAATGTCAATACCTCATCCGTTCGACTTCGGCTTTACAACTGTCTGATTGTCGTAAACAATTTTTGAATCGCTCTCCCTCCTACAGTTTTTTACTGACTTCGATAAAATTTGATACATATGTAGAGCATACAGAGATACACATTTTTTTTATTCAAAGTCTCAATAGAAGAAACGGAATCTGAATCGCTACACAAATTTACATATCATAGGCGTCGGAACCGGAGGGTGGGGGGCTAGGGCCTCTTTTTTGCAAACATAGCCATAATATAAACAATGAACATAGGATCGTAGATTTAGACAGAAATTTTACTTAGAGAAGTTCGATATTAACCCTCCCCCTCCCTCCCTCCCGAAATAGGATCTTCGTGAAGGACGCAGGACATTTTTTTTTCGCTTTTCAAGTTTTTGGTAACTTAAATATTTTTTTCTCCTCTACTTTCCCCCTTCCACTTTCAATTTGCTACCGACGCCAATGCATATACCGTATATACTCGCCTATAAGTCGGTTTTTTGGGAGTTAATCTCTGGTCTAAAACTCTTTGTCCGACTTATAGGCGAGCTATTAAAAGTATGGTTTTCTATGAGGTCAGTCCATCTGATGTACAAGCTTATTAAATACAACCGACTTATAGGCGGACCGACTTATAGGCGAGTATATACGGTACTTCCATTGTATGTCCCACTTCGCTACCCGACCTTACATGTAATTCCCAATCATTTTACGATAAATGGACGAATTCATTATATAAATCATGAAAAAAATAACTGTTTCATAATTTTCTTAAAGACATATCATTGAACTTGGGGAAAAAAATTGTCCACAACTCTTGCATCGATTACTTTTTAAAAACAATTTTAATATTCCATTGTTCCGTAGTATAGACACAAATGTATGATTTATGAAGTCTCACATATCCAAAATTAAGTTAAAATTTCTGTAAAAATGTCGTAATGAAGTTAAGGTTACGGAAGTTAAATCTCCAACTTTTATATTATAAGTTAAAATTCTCTGCAATAGTTAAAATCAAAGCTTGTTTTAGGATATAAAACAGAAGTATGAAGAATTTTGCTCCCCAAAGAATGAAAAAAAAATTATATCTGTCATGCAAAATCCTTCCTGAATTACCACTTCGGAAGTAAAGGTTTTTCTCCAATTCAATCTGTTATATCTAAAAAAGTATTGTCTTAAAAATAAATAGCTGACTCGCAACTAGTATTAATGATATAAGGTTTTTTGGTAAATTTCAGTTCTTTTTGAAACCTGCAATTAATCTGTTCGTGCAATTTAGACCAAACTCAGTCCTGAAGTTAATTGATTTTTAGCGATATGCTATGATTACTTATGAAAGAAGATCCATGCATTTCTTTTTCGAGAATAGATTTGATTTTATTTTTTTATTCAAGATAAAAAAAAATTATTTAACATTCATCGCAATCTGTTAGGAATGCTTTTACTGCTGAGAATCCCGTCTTGAAATTTGTAAAAAAAAAAATGAAGCGACATTAAGATTTGCAGTGGAATACGTTTTCAACATTAGGCCTTCATGATGTTCATATCTAAACTTTAACTACATAAATATCGGTAAATATTTAAAAAAAAAAACAAAAAAAAAAAAACATGCGTGTATGTTATATCTTAGAGCTGAATTCGATCTTAAAATTTATAGTTAAGATATTATAACGGCAAATATGTAAGTGACCTGAAAAAAAAAGAAAATTAATTGTCCATGCTTGTTTTTGTAGAATGACTGTTCCGTGCTATTTCTCTCCCTGTGTATATAACAACCATGGTAACAGAAAGGGAAATAATTCAAACGAAATTAAGTTTCCCGATTTTTAAAAATTAAATATCACAGTGTATATTCATTATTTTATTTTCATGTTCCTATACATTCATTTTATATTAGATAAAGATAAGGGTAAGAAAAATAATCGCGTCAGTTTAATAAATGCAGTTTGTGCGTTATAGCAAAAATATCTCTTTCATCGAAATTTTAACTCCTAATATGTTTCATCGTTGTGACAGCTTTTCCTTTCAAGTACATTTAAAATACTAGCCTAAGGACTCGAAAAAAAATTTATAAGCTTGTATATTTTTTTTAACTTTTAATGACAAATCCGAAAAGTAAGAAAATGGTAACGACAATACCTGATTACTTGATTAATTATTCCTACTACATGTAGGAATGACACAAAATTCGACAGGAATTTCTGAAACAGTGGGTGCGCGAAATCGGGGCGTTGGGTCAAGAACTATCACTTATATTCTAAAGCTAATGAAAATTTCCTTTATTACATGGTAATGGCTCAAAACGTTTCGTATATTAACTCTTCTTTATAAATAATTCCTTTCAAAAATAAATCTGTTCCATATATTGAAAGAATCGATTTATTTCACACCGAACTTATGAACGATTTCATTGTATACACGTAAAACGTTAGATGACGTCATAGTGCTTTTTTTTTGTTTTACTCGAAAAAGTTCCAATATTCAACAGCAAATATTTCTGTAACGGATGGTCGTACCTTTCAATGTCCAATAGAGAAAATGTAGGGAAAATTTCCCGCTTTTAGGATATGGCATTCATCTTTTTTTATCGTGTGCTGTAAGTGAGATACAGCCTACAGAAGATAGCGCAAAATCACTCATTTATGCGGAATTTTACTAACTTCCCACAATTATATTCAATGTTCAATTCAAGTTAACGATAATTTCTTAACATCGCAGAGAAAAACTGATAATAGAAAAATTGTTGTGTTTCTTCTCTAGTTTCAGAAAATATCAACTGTTTTGTTGTATCCCAATTATTTACAAAACGCCAACAGTTAAATCACTGTGATGCTAAAAATGCGTCAAAAGGCGAACTTGGCCGTTAAGGGGTTAAACAATTATGAAGCTTGTGTTATATAGAATGCCAGCCTTCAATGAATGCAAATATCATGAAGGCTTGACCTTAACTTCAAACAAACAGCAGTTGCAGACAAAGGTTTTCATTAATCTTAAAGATAAAGAAAAGCCTACTAAATTTTCTGCAGCAGGCTAGATAATTAATCCCAAAGGATTAATTGTACCTCTCTCATCATTTTCTTCTAAAGTTATAATAAGAACTTTTTCAGTATCAATGATAGAATGGGGTTTTTATACAACTATCTTAAAAGTTAATTAACATAAACTGAAAAAAAGTAAATCAAAAAATCTTCTTTAATCTATTTCTTGCTTTTAGAATTCAATGAAATCATAACTATTAAACAAAAATAAATCATAAAAATTTATATTTAAATCCACATTTCAGAGTGTTCATAGCATTCCAAATTGACTTAACTTCAAAACAAACTTCATTTGCAGACAGAGGTGGTAATTCATCTCAATGTGACAGATAAAGATAATGCTCTGGATTTTCTTCAGGAGGAAAGCTAATTAATCCCAAGGGACTCATAGCCAGCATTCAGTTTACAATGGGAACATCTTCAGCAGTTATCTCTCTTTGCCAATGCATTCTTATATATATAAAATTAAGGAATCTACCCCACCACCCCAGCTCCAAACCAGGGGACATAGAGAACCAAACTTAGCATCAAAATATGTATTTCTGCCTACTGAACTACCATACCAAATTTGTACTTGATTGGGCAACCATAAAAAAAGTTGCCCATTCATTTTTATGCATAGTTAAGGAATCTACCCCACCACCCCAGCTCCAAACCAGAAGACATAGAGAACCAAACTTAGCATCAAAATATGTATTTCTGCCTACTGAACTACCATACCAAATTTGAACTTGATTGGGCAACCATAAAAAAAGTTATTAGAAAAAAACAGAAAATTTGTGGACGGAAGAGTGACAGACGGACAGTCAGACGGACAGAGAGACAGACAGACGGACAGACAGAGTGATTACTATAGGGCATCCGCAAATCCTTGAGGGCCCTAATAATGTACAACATAGGATTTATGGCTCAGGTAATAAAGGGAGGGGGTCTTTTTCGAATAGCTTCCCTGGCTTTGGCGTTCAAATAAGAAGGCGCAACCCAAAACGCATTATCTGCAGGTTCGCCTGCAATCTGGATCAGATGCTGCAATCCTTTGGGAGAGTATCGCTGACCTAAGATTTTCTTGACTCTGTGAAACCCATCACTGTCAGAAGATGCCGTGTATGTGACAATATTCCGAGGGTCCACATGATTGTCCTCCCGGAAACGAAGTGGTTTTTTGATTGTCCGTTGAGGGCGCTTTGGATATGTAACCTCTGGAACGTCCCGTTGTGTCGTAACCACGTCAGTTTGACAGCTTTGGTCTTTCTCTGTGACTTGTCTTGCAGACACAACACTGAAAAAGTCAGAGGGAGTAGGCTCCCGGACAAAAGCTTCCTTAACACGATTGATGTGAACAATGTTATCTAGCACTTTGTTGGTGACTGGGTCCTTGATTAACACAGTGCGTGCACTTGGTATATTGTGTACAACATAAGGTCCGGTAAATTGGTTCTGAAGCTTGTGTGCGTTTTCTTTTTGAACAAACACGTAGTCATTCTTCTGTAATGTTAAAGGCCGAAGATTGCATTTTTGGTATTGGCATTGCTCAACATTGTGTCTTTAGCTTTCTGTACATTTTCCATTATTTCTGTACGAATGATGTTTATTTTACTTAAATTGTCTCTAAGAAAAGTAGCAGTGTCCTTGGGAACTTCCGTTGGTTCTGTATGATAGTTGACTAGTGAAAATTTTGGTCGACACCCGAATACAATCTCATAGGGAGAATATCCTAGACTAGTGTTCACGGAACAATTAATGGAAAATACAACAGATGATAAGTAATTTTCCCAGTTGCTTTTGTCTGGAGATATGTAAGATGTTAGTCTCTCAGCAAGTGTCGCATGTATCCGTTCACAGGCTCCAAGGCAATGGTGCGCAAAGGCCGGAGTAAATTGTTGGGCGATATGCAGCATCTTGCAGAGCTCGGACGTAACCTTGGCTATAAATTCACTTCCCTGGTCACTGATAACTGTACTACATACTACATACTCGTAATAAGCCTGAAAAATGCATGGGCGACTGTCAAGGCATCTTTTGATTTGATAGGAAAAGCAACGAAATATTTGCTAAACATGTCAACAGCTGTAAAGATGTAGGAGCTTCCTTGGGTAGATAAGGGTAATGGTCCATACAAATAAATCTCCCGAACTTCAAAAGGCGCGGTTGGTGTGGGATAGGAAGTAACTCCAGATTTAGTAAGCATTCGAGAAATTTTTCTTTTCTGACAATGTTGGCAAGATTTAACATAATCACTGACAATTGGAGACATTTTCTGGAAAAAATAATGTTCCTTAATTTTATCCAGAGTGTCCTGAATGCCACTATGTGCAGCCAGCGGAGAGTCGTGGTGCATGTATAAAATGTCTTTTATCATTTCTTTAGGGACCACTAGTTGATATTTGTTTAGTGTTTTGGCTCTCTTTGATTTTGCATGACGAGAGTGAAACAGCATGCCATCAATTAATGCGTAATCTGAGTGTTTTAAGAGAATGTCTCTGGCCAGTTTTTGTGAATCTGGAAGGATGCCATTTTCAATGTAATTTATCAGATATTTTAGCTCTGGGTCACTGTGTTGTTTCTTTATGACATCTGATTTTAGAAAGGTGGTGTTTTGAAAATAATCAGGGTTTTCATTATCAACGGACACAGGTTGCTCCCGAACACTTTGTGGGTCGTCTGGTTCAGTAGCACGTTGATAAGAAATACTTTGCTCTGCACTGCTGGAACTGTCAATTTCGGTAGTCTTATCGAATGGTTCAGAACAGACGGTGACCTCAGTGAACTTTGCAATTTACTGTGGGTCTTGTCATAATAAGCAGACTTCGATCGCAGCCGTTTCTTACGTAATGGCAACCTAAAATCGTCCTCGGTATCAGCGTCATAATCACATCTAGAGGCCTTGATGAAATTAACTTCTGGATTACCGGGAAACAGTGTGTGTAAGTCCTGCCCGTTAGGTAATTTTACCGATGTTGGTGTCTCTGGGACATAGGGGAAACAGTCTTCGCAAAAAAGAAAACTCGCCACAGGACATTCGGACAGACAGTTAACACAATCTCACAGGACCAAACGAATTTTCACCGGTCCAAAACTTTTATCATATAATGATCATGACGATGTTACTTCATAGCATATACCCGGTAAATCAATAAACAGATAACACATTAAAAGATTAACTGAAATGTTTCTTTTTCTTTCCTGGTACTGTTCCATCGAAATATTTTAGAGACATTGTGGCGGAAGTAGGTTTTAAAACAATCACAGTCCACGAAACGTTTTTAATAATGTGTTTTGTTATTAATTAAAGCATCTATATGATGAAATAGAACTATATAATTTAAAACCCGACCAAAACAAACCTCGGAAAAACGGACCGATTTTACTAGTCAGTACATCGGACCAATAAGATTTTCACCTGTTTTGTCCGACGGACCGGTGCTTTTGGGATAGACTGGGGAAATGCGGATCATCTTCCTCTGGACTCTATTCTAGGATTGTAGAGAATGCTGGATTCCTGGACAACGCATCTGCCACACATATTTCTGAAGCTGGTTTATATTTGATGTCGATGTCAAATTGCTGCAGAATTGCTAGCCATCTCTCGTAAATTGCACCTTTTAACTGCTTTTGAAATAGGGGTTTCAGGGCTTGATGATCGCACTCAACGATACAGTGTCTTCCCCGTATGTAAGGCGCACAGTCTAATACCGCAGTTACCATTCCTAAAAGTTCAAGTTTTGTAGGGCCATAGAAGCGTTGCCATTGCGCGAGTCCTTTGGAACCAAATCAGGTCGTAACGAGGAAAACTGAGAACAGGCGAATTCTTTAGGGGCTTCTTGAGTTCAGTAAATGCTGTTGTTTGTTCAGAAGTCCAGTTAAACTTGGCATTTTTCTTCATTAACTTGAGTATAGGTTATGCAATGGCGCTATAATTTGGTATGAATTTTCTAAACCAATTAAATAGTCCCATGATTCGCCGTAATTCTTTAATGTTAGTTGGAGGGGGATAGTTCATAATCAATTCAACTTTGTTGGTAGGAGGTTGAATTCCATCTTTAGATATCGCATGTCCGAGAAAAACACACTTGCGTTGCGCAAAATGACATTTCGATGGATGAAGTTTAAGTCCTGCAGAATGAAGACGACCAAACACTTCCTGAAGATCTGCAAGGTGTTGCTCAAAAGTTTCGGAACAAATGAGAACATCGTCCAAATAAAACAATACTGACTTGAATGTAAGACCACGAAGGGCCTTGTCCATCAACAACTGGAAACTATTTCATTTGGTGAGGTTTTTAGTCCCATGGGAAGTCGTAGAAACTTAAATGTGCCATAACAAGTATTGAAAGCTGTATACTTTGTTGAATCTTCAGAGATAGGCATCTGGAAAAATCCTATGCTCATATCTATGGACGAGATAAAGTTCGCCACTTTGTCTGTAAATGATTCTGTAAGTTCCTGTAAGTCAGGGATATTGTATCGGAACTCTTGCGTCACAGAATTAAGGTAGCGAAAATCACAACAAAACCTGTAGTATGACAAACACTGATCTTTAGTTAAGTTGTTTAATTTCCCCTTTGGTTTGTTTTGTTTGGATACTAACACAATAGGACTTGTAATAGGGACATTTTCACATTCTTGAACAGGTGCAATAATATTCTGTCTCAAAAGATCGTCAAGCTGGTGACGCAACACTTGTTTCTTATCAGGTGGTAATCGGTATGGTCGATGATGTTTAGGCTGTTAATGACTTTTTGTCGCTGGCACTCAATACATCGTCAAAGTTGAAATTCAGCAGAAATTGTTCATTGGAATGAGGATTCACTGCTGGAGCTGACTTGGAGTCAGATAAAGTTACGTTTGCACACTCGACGGGGGTCTTGTCCAAGTCTATCGTTTGAATATGGAACGAATTTTCAAGTGGTTTGAAATGAGCCAGAATTGATCCTTTATGTACAAACACAGGTTCATCACCAGGGTTCAATATCTTAAGGGGGACTGAGCCGTTTGTTGAAATAGTAACAACTGATTTCACTAGAAGTAACCCTTTTCTCAAAAACAAATTATGTTCAGAACAAACACCTGGTAAACCTATCATTTTGGTTTTGGTAACTTTGCCACTTATGAACATTTCTGACTTGGGTGGCACTGAAAAACTAGATCTACATCTAACTTTTGTACATTTGCTCTGACCTCTAAAAGTTACAAATTTGTCAAAATCTAACACAATCTTTTTAGAAATCAAACAACAAGTACCAAGTATTAAAGGATGAGATGCACAATCTAAAATATATACAAATATTGAATGTACCTTAGACGAACAAGATGTCTGCACTGAGATACTGGCTGTCCCAAAGACGCAAACAGACTGATTATTGGCCAATTTGACAGTCTGCTCACTACACGATCGAAAATTCGATTTGCTTTTAACATGTTGAACTGGTAATTTATCAAAGAGAGACTTTGAAATGATATTGATACTACTTCCAGTATCTAACAGTGCAGTAACTTGCATACCTTGGATCTTGACTGGCATGTACATAAATTCCCCAGCACTATTTTCATCACATTCACTATTTACACTTTCACAAAACACATTTTCACAATCTGAAATGCTGGCACTATCACTGTCACCGCCACAGGCTGTGGGTGCCTTTTGCAGACTGGGCGCGATTAGTTTCCCGCAATGGTGACCTTTTTACAGGCCGCAGCACTGTGTTCGTTTTGCTTACACAGATCTGGCACAATACGGATGGTTCGCGGGGTCCCTTTCCGTTCCAGTTGCACTCAGCCTGTCGATGGTTTGGGCCAGTGCAATTGTAACACACGTATCGGGAATTCCTAGTTGGGTGGGCTGGTGCTGGTCTTGGGCGATGGGCGGTTTTCCTCTCTGGGTCCCTGGCCTCTAGGCGGTCCATTCGTTCCACAAGCTGCGACAAAAGCTTCTCCATGTTGGTAGAGGTCGCTGAAGGTTCCTTGGGTGTAACGGCAGCGACAGAAACTGGAGACGTAGATTGGCGATATCCATAAGCCTCTCCGAGTTTGGCTTGCTGGAATGCGGCTTGGAGGTTCTTCGGATTGGCCGCCCTGACAAAGAAGGCCAGTTGCTGGAGGAGTCCATTGATGAATTTTGCTGTAAGGTCCCTCTCTGGTTTCTCCAGTCTGGACCCCTTTTCAAGGACTAGGCTGTGGAAGCCTTCCATGTGGGCTCCGGGCTCGAGGGTCAAAGCTTCAAATATGGCGGATTCCGCGATGATCGCTGGATCGTATAAAGATTTGCTGAGATATTGCGCATTGAATGCATCTTTGACCACAGTCCAGGAAAGTTCATCACTTGCCTCCAGTGTAGAAAACCACACAAGTGCTGGCCCCTTTAGGTGCAAATGAAATGCGGCTATCATTCTACTATTGTCCTTCAAATTCTGCAAAGTGCAGAAAGATTCAAATTCCTCCAGAAACTTCTTGGCATTTTCGCTGGTGTAGCCATGAAATTTAGTAAGTTCAATTTTAGTAGAAATCGCTACGGGGGAGGTCACTGGTTGACTATCTGCTGGCATTTCGAGAACGGTCTGATTTGGGGAACAAAATCCAAAACATTCAGAACTGTTATAATCCATGACGTAATAATAAAAAGTCCAAAAAAAAATTATTTAGATTCTCCTGTAATAATTATATTGTTTTGAAATGATAATTCCTGGTTAAAGTTTAGAATTTATTCAAGTCCAAAAGTACAAAATCAAAATTCACATTTTTACACAAAAATTCCTAAAGTGAGAGTGAATTACAAATAAACTCAGGCACGTCTCATCTTTGACAACTCCTCCCACATTTTATAAATGAACCAATGAAACAAGTTAAAAGACAGTAGAAAAGTTTGAGGAAAGCTCAATGACATTAATTTATAACACAGGAAACAATTTGAGTAAGCATAACAAATTCAAAGAAACACCAGTCTAAGATCTGACCATAAACCTGATAACAATTATGAGCTAATAGCATCGATACCGTGGGATGGAGAGAGAGATGTCAAGTTTGAGAAATTACAAACACGTGCAGCAGTGCTCTTTCTGAAGATCAAATAAAACAATTAATTTTCAATTACAAATTCCCAGTACATCAATTATAATATTTAAACAATACCTAAATCATAAGTACATCTAAGAAACTAACAAATTGTCTTTATCAAAAATATGCATTTATACGCATATAATTTATACGCATGTATATAACACTCCACCATGTAATAAATTGTCAATTGATAAGTCAGGTTTAAAGTTTAGAATTTATTGTAAGTCCAAAATATGAATTTCACAAATGCAATTTAGAACAACTGAATTTAACAAAGAATTTTCCTAAAAATTTACTCACTTACAAACTCACTCACATCTAATCTTTGACAACTCCGCCCACTTTCGTACTGACCAGCCAATTAAATTAAGGATAGAACATTGCAAGAACAGGGGGAATCCGTATGACATTAATTTACAACACTGAAATTAGGTAGAGCTAAGCATAACAAATTCAAAGAACACGATCCTAAGATCTAACCATAAAGTTGATAACAAGTATGAGTAAATGACATTGATATCGTGAGACAGGAAAGAGATGTCAAGAATTAGATATTGCTAACATGTGCAAAAATGTCTTTCCTAAACATCAAATGAAAACAATTAACTTTCAACTACAGATGTCAAACAAGACCGAAAAGTAATAAACAACTATATATAAATATATTCATAATTAAAAATTTGTCATTTATAAACCCTTATAACCCATAATCATAACATTAGATGTTTTTTATTCGCATTTCCTGATAATTTATTTGAGATTTATGAATTTTCCCTATATAATATGATTAACATTACAGATGAAGTTTGAAGAATTATTGTGGGTAAAAACACGTTATTCTAAGAATTCAGAGACATTTTTATGAGCATTTTCAATAAGTCAATGCCTGATTTTCAGAACCTGACGATCGGAGTACCTTAGCATTGACACCTTGATAAACAAAATCAAAATGAACCCATGTAGCGAGCCCAATCTTATATCCTCACTATTTTCATGTAAACTTAATTATTTTTGTGTGAGTTTGATGGATCAGTAGGTTGAATAATATCATCACGGCTGCACCCAGGGGCCATTTGACCACCCATGGGGAGCCTCTATGATATCCGTTCACGTCATCATGCCATCTTTTGGTGTGGTCTATCACGGGATTTACTCACGCCCACACTTTCTCATCATTTCGGCGTAAAGCCGATCAAATAAGATCAAGGTGTATCGCTTTAAGTATTTAAATGTCTGTATGTAAGTGAATGTGTGAATGTGTAAAAAGTCAGATCGAGAGAAAATGGAGAAAAGGCAGAAAGGGAAAGGCAGTTTGCGCGTGCGCAAAGATAGAAATTATAAAATTCGACTCCCGGCAGATTTACTTTCCAAAAACTTTGGAATAAATATTTTACTCATACTTATTTGATAAATTGTTATATGTGGTAGAAAAAAATCAGTATTTCTAGCTCTTAAACATAAAAGAGAAAAAAAAATCTTTGTTTTTAAAATATATTGATGTTTCCGGAAAAAGAACGCTTTATGAAAAGGTTTTAAATTTTATATACCTTCGAAATGCATTGTGGGATCGTACAATTCCAAATTTAGAATCAGGGCGACATTTATAAATTGACGTCACAGAAATAAACAATTATTCATATTACAGAGGTAAGTAACGGTGTACGGCGATGCATATTTAATGCTATTTATTTTTAGTAACTTTTATCTATGGCTCTTTATTCAGAAGGGAGTTTAAGACGTCTTATTGACGCTGAACTTGGCAGTATTTGAGATGTAAGTGGGTGCGACTTCTCATGTAAACATCTTACCCCAACAGGCAGATTAAAAGCTTTAGACAGTCAGACTTTGTAAAAAGGGATTGGATTCTAAAGATTCTTTCCAATAGAGTAGATTTGGTGTAAGTGTACTCTGATTTTGGGGGTAAAGGCATTTAGATTGAATCAGTGAAGCGGAACCGATCGTCCATTTTGAAGCGCTTCCGCCTCTGACGGTAACATCCCCATCCTGTTTCTGAAGCGTAAGTCAGGAATCCAGCAGAGTTTGTAAAACGATGAGTAATTTCCGAGGAATGTTGTGTTTTAAAGATGCCTGTGAATGGGCTAATTGTTTTCATGTAGATCTATGTTTGTGTTTTATTTTCTTTTGAATCCCGATTGACCAGAGTTCATTTTTACATAAATATGGATAATAGGTATGTAGGTAGGCTCAGAATGTCTCTGTAATGTGGCTGTTGACGAGGAGTTTAGTCTTGTCTTCTGTATGATGAATGGATTAAATGTATATTTTTAGGATTTCAAACTTTTTTCACCTAAAGCCACTCCTGAATTTGACTTTTTATATAAACATCGACAAGTTAAAGCATTGTGTAGTTAAATACTAGTGCTGATGAAGACATTGATGTTTATGATAACAATTTAGGATCTTTCTAAGATTTAGCTAAGGCCTCAAGGGTGTGTAATTCCTTTCCATCATCATAAGAGTGTGCTTTAAATTTTCAGAAATTCTACAGTGATTTTAATTTTATGATTTTTCGCTTATAACACTGTAGATGTGTGTTTGGAAAATGAGGCAGAGTCTGTCAGTCGACTTCAGCCCTAACATTTTCCTTCAAACATGAAAAACTAGTTAATGGCTGCCTGTAATCATGAGTATTTGTTTAATTGTCTGACTTCACTCATATTATTTTAAACCCTAAGATGTATCTTTCAGAGGGCTACAGAGGCTATACTAAATTTATGAAAAGTGTAAAGGCTACACATATATCAAGGATGAATGTGAACAATATAATCATTGTCAATGAGACTGAATTGACTGAATTCTGCATCTCCTTGTAGAAATTTGGGCCCTGGATTTGATCTTCAGTTTTCTTCATTTTGATTTTAAAATTTTGCTATGACAGCAGCATCACTCCACGATTAAATCCCATTGTTTCCTTTCTTTTTCTGACTTAAGGATCTTCTTGTTTCCTTTCTTTTTCTGACTTAAGGATCTTTTTGTTTCCTTTCTTTTTCTGACTTAAGGATCTTCTTGTTTTCTTTGATTTTCCTTGCTTTTCTGTCCTGCTCCACATTAATGAAATCCTGGTATGGCTATCTGTTTAGACCGTACAGTTTTAATTAATTTTAATTATTTTGACAAGTACCAGATTAACTTATTAAGTTCATGGAGTTTTATAATGTGTTTGATAGCTTATGAGTTAAAGTTTTCCCCTTTTGTTTTTCCAGGTCCCAGGTAAAGATGAGGGAGTACAAACTTGTTGTACTAGGCAGTGGTGGTGTCGGTAAAAGTGCCCTGGTGAGTACATGTGTACTCAGACAAAGTGATGTTGTTTCACTGATATCAGTAAAAATGTTGATCACCTGATATTAGTGAAAATGTTGATCGGCTGATATCAGTAAAAATGTTGATCATGCTGATATTAGTGAAAATGTTGATCGGCTGATATCATAAAAATGTTGATCATGCTGATATCAGTGAAAAATGTTGATCAGCTGATATTAGTGAAAATATTGTTTCACTGATATCAGTAAAAATATTGATCAGCTGATACCAGTGAAAATGTTAATCAGTTGATATCAGTGAAAATGTTGGTCAGTTGATATTAAACAGGCACTCTCAGATAAGTTCAGATGTCAATCATTTTAAAATCTGTCTTGTATTATAAACAGAACAGAAATTTTTCTCATCTTAACTTGCTTATTTACAATTTTTTCCTTGAGTGTGTAGTAAAAGGTTACATTTGTATGATACAATCTGATTAAGTTTTTTAAAAGTTTTGTTTAATAGACCATGAACAAGATAGAGTCCAGGCATTTTTTCCCCATTAAAATTTACATTTTCAGCATGTTCAGGGAGGAATATTTACAATTATACATTATGTGTATCAACATAAGGTATTGTTTTGTTTATGAAAAATTGGATGAATTAGATTAATTTGATCTTCATGAATTAATATGAATTTATGAATTGACTGCTTTGTTAATTTGACATGGCAGGCTTACAATAAGTTCAAAGTAAAAATGTATACCGGTACTATTTGAGATTTGAAAAGAATATGGTACTATTTTACTGTATATATTGTGATTTTTAGCTCTACTGGTCAGAGACCAGAAGAGCTTATGCGATAGTAATGCGTCCGTCGTCCGTCCGTCTGTCTGTCCGTCTGTCCGTCTGTCTGTCTGTCTGTAAACAATCTTTCAATATGCTACTCCTCCTACAGTTTTGGTCTGATTTCAATATAACTTGGCACACAAGTAGACTACACTAAGATACATAATTCTGTGTATCGGTTTTTGATATCGATTAACGGTGTTGCCGTTGTTACTAAAAATAGAAATTTCTGTGAAATTCTTTCAAAATGCTACTTCTCCCACAGTTTTGGTCTGATTTCAATATAACTTGGCACACAAGTAGACTACACTAAGAAACATAATTCTGTGTATCGGTTTTTGATTTCGATGAACGGTGTTGCCGTGGTTCCTAAAAATAGAAATTTCTGTGAAATTCTTTCAAAATACTACTTCTTCTACATTTTTGGTCTGATTTCAATATAACTTAGCACACAAGTAGACTACACTAAGATACATAATTCTGTGTATCGGTTTTTGATTTCGATTAACGGTGTTGCCGTTGTTGCTAAAAATAGAAATTTCTGTGAAATTCTTTCAAAATGCTACTCCTCCTACAGTTTTGGTCTGATTTCAATATAACTTGGCACACAAGTAGACTACACTAAGATACATAATTCTGTTTATCGGTTTTTGATTTCGATTAAGGGTGTTGCCGTTGTTACTAAAAATAGAAATTTCTGTGAAATTCTTTCAAAATGCTACTTCTCCTACAGTTTTGGTCTGATTTCAATATAACTTGGCACACAAGTAGACTACACTAAGATACATAATTCTTTATTTCGGTTTTTGATATCGATTAACGGTGTTGCCGTGGTTACTAAAAATAGAAATTTCTGTGAAATTCTTTCAAAATGCTACTCCTCCTACAGTTTTGGTCTGATTTCAATATAACTTGGCATACAAGTAGACTACACTAAGATACATAATTCTTAATATCAGTTTTTGATTTCGATGAACGTTGTTGCCGTTGTTACTAAAAATAGAAATTTCTGTAAAATTCTTTCAAAATGCTACTTCTCCTACAGTTTTGGTCTGATTTCAATATAACTTGGCACACAAGTAGACTACACTAAGATACATAATTCTGTATATCGGTTTTTGATATCGATTAACGGTGTTGCCGTTGTTACTAAAAATAGAAATTTCTGTGAAATTCTTTCAAAATGCTACTTCTCCTACAGTTTTGGTCTGATTTCAATATAACTTGGCATACAAGTAGACTACACTAAGATACATAATTCTTTATATCAGTTTTTGATTTCGATGAACGTTGTTGCCGTTGTTACTAAAAATAGAAATTTCTGTGAAATTCTTTCAAAATGCTACTCCTCCTACAGTTTTGGTCTGATTTCAATATAACTTGGCAAACAAGTAGACTAAGATACATAATTCTGTATATCGGTTTTTGATTTCGATGAATGGTGTTGCGATGGTAACTAAAAATAGAAATTTCTGTTAAAAACTCTCAAAATGCTACTCCTCCTGCAGTTTAAGTCTGATTATAATATAATGTGGCATGCAAGTAGACTATACTAAGAACATAAAGAGACTTAATCAAGGATCATTATTCTTTTTATTGCTGTGGTAAAGTTTCAATTCCCAACTGCTTAAGAACTTTTCTCTTCCTTTGCTATAAGTACAAACCAGTAGAGCTTCAGTCTCGACAGAGACTTCTGGTTATTATTTTGAATTTACAACTAAATAACATATAACGTGGCTGAGCAATATGCCTAATAAGAAAAAAAAACTTTTCAGGTTTATAGAGCACTGTAGAGTAAGAATGAAAAAAAAAGACGAAAAAAGAATTGTACTGTAACATACCTATCATGTCACAAGTCACACAATGTCAAATTTGGACCATGTTGATATGTCTTAGGTTTTCTGTGTATTGATCATTTTTTAAAGATTTGTTAATTTTTTGTTTGGAAATGCTAAAAATGAGTATGTATAATGAATTTGAAGTATTATACACTGTAATTTGTTCTGGTTTCAGACTGTGCAGTTTGTACAAAACATATTTGTAGAAAAATATGATCCAACTATAGAAGACAGTTATAGAAAAGTAAGTGACAAGTTATTAAATTATTGAACTGTAGTGATTCAGTAAATGTCTGAGCTATAGATATGATAGACATCATTATAGGTATAACTATAAGGACACAAAAGAAATTTAAACAAAACAAAAGGAAGTATTTTAGTAAGCATGGTAAGTATACCTTAAGTGTATCATCTACAAGACATAACTGTAAGTACTTGTGTATCAATACATGTGTCAGTGACAAACATACATGTGACAAAATGAACCACATGACTGCATCATCTACATTAACTTAAATACGGTAAATATCCAATTGTCCAAAAGAAATGCTGCACAGAAATGTAAAGTCTCCAAATGAATTAATTACTGACAGCACCAAATAAATGTTAACATATGACTTACTTTTCTCTGTTTTTCAATCAGTGTATTCTCTTGTATAAAAAAGTCATTATATTCAGTTGACACATTTTTATAACCAGTTAATTTTAACAATACTTTGTGCTGACATGACTTAATGCTGAGCTACTTAATAACCTACACAGTCTCATACTGATATATAATAAAAACTTATTTTCATATATAAATAAATAAATTTGTGTTTTTTTTTATTTTTAGCAAGTGGAGGTGGATGGACAACAGTGTATGTTAGAGATTCTGGACACGGCAGGGACAGTGAGTGTTGGGGGAGGGGAAGAACTTACAGGGGGGAGGGTGTTATTTGAGGGGGAATTACAGGGGGGAGAGTTACGGAAATAAAACCTGATAATACATAACCCATTATGCTTGTAAAAAAGTTTAAGATAGGAGGAGAAAAGAAAATTTCTTGTTGAAAAAGATAGTCATTGTATTGAAAACTACTCTAGATTTAGTGAAATAGAGCCCAATTTTTAGTGAGTTAAATCATGTACTCATTCTTCTTACAAACATTGTTGACTTGATTGTTCTTTATTTCAGGAACAATTCACGGCTATGAGGGATTTGTACATGAAGAACGGACAGGGGTTTCTACTTGTTTATTCCATCACGGCCCAGTCCACATTTAACGATCTTCAGGATTTAAGAGAACAGATATTACGAGTCAAAGACACAGACGATGTAAGATTTCATATAAATTTAATATCAAGTTATTGTAGATCACTAAATTTTCATGACACCTCATTTTCGTGAGATAATTATTGACTTTTTATTAGCATGATTAGCGAGACAAAATTTTCATGAATTGTTGTTTTCCTCTATTTAATCATAAAAGATACATTTATACACGAGAATAAAATTTTCTCGATCTCATTGTCTCGTAATTACGCGAAAATAAAGTCCTCGCAAATAAAAAGTGATTTACAGTAATTAATATGTTCACAAAGTCACTGTCCAGTTTGTTGGGTATGCCAGTAGCCCAACTGGCAACTGTGATTGAATTTTAATTCATTCTGATTATGCTGATATACATAAAATAAATACTGGTCTCAAGGGCATATGCTGTTTGAAAAGGCACTAGCCAAAATCCTAATTTTACGGACCTAATATCACTGGGCCATCAATTATTTGAAGTCCTGAATAGTTATTATGCCCCCCATCAAAGAAGGGAGAGCATATTGCTTTGCTGCTGTCTGTTGGTCAGTCTTTCAGTCCACTTAGTTTCCGTTCATTTTCTTCACAAGTGTTGCACATACTGAATTGAAATTTGGTATACAGATATATCAGATGAATATCTAGGTCAAGGTCTGTTTTGGGTATGATCTTACCATTTTTGACAGAGTTATGCCTCTTGGACTTAGAAATGAATACTGGCATCAAATTGTAATCTGATTCTTATTTTCTTCTTTGACCAGGTACCTATCATTCTGGTAGGAAATAAACATGCAGAAGATGAATGTTTTATTTGTTTCTTTGACCAGGTACCTATGATTCTGGTAGGAAATAAATGTGACTTAGAAGATGAGCGGGTTGTAGGAAAGGACCAAGGTCTGGGTTTGTCCCGGCACTTCAACTGTGAATTCATGGAGACCTCAGCGAAAAAGAAAGTTAATGTCAATGAAGTAAGTCAAATAGGTATCTGAGAATGAGGTAGATACTCTGGGAATGTGGTAAGAGACAAAATCTGAAAATACTAGGACCTTTGTAATCGATGGAACACTAAAAGAGATAAGGCATGAAATTTTGTATACTGTATAAATGAGTCCAAAGATGTTTGACAACAAAAATCTTATAAAGTTATAGCTGCAGATCTGTAGCTCTCCGAAACATATATATTGATAGACCGGAGAGCTACAGAGCCATCCATTGAAAAAACTGTATATTTATTGCGCACAAAAAAATGCGCTCGGTTCTCAATTAATTACTCCATGTTTTTAAAACTGTAATCTCAAAATATTACTAACCGTGTGTTTTTAACATATTTTTTGACTCTTTCCACAACAAAACATTCCTCATAATTGTTGTTAATAGTCCTCCTGGCCCTGATATTGCAATCATCGAACATTTCGCTTATTTATACTGCCATTTTGGTTTCAAAGATAATTCGGTCCAATATGCTTCGTTCAGATGTCAACTACGAAAGAACTTGATAGAGGAGGGAGGAATTTTTTTAAAATCTTCCAGTTTTTGCAACTGAGGTAAGAATTTGGAAGAATTAATCAAGAATCTAGCGCACTTTTTTGTGCACAATAAATATACAGTTTTTTCAATGGGTGGCACTGTAGCTCTCCGGTCTATCAATATATATTTTTTCGGAGAGCTACAGATCTGCAGCTAATAAAGTTAATGAACATGAATGCTTCAAAGAATCTTATAAAGTTAACATACGTTAAAAATTCAAAGAATCTTGTAAAGTTAATATACAAGAATAATTTAAAGAAGCTTATCAAGTTAACATTCAAGAATACTTCAAAGAATGGAGTACATGTTAGACTTTGATGCAAAATACAAATATGAGAAATTGTACAAGAAATTGGGAGAATCCCAAGTGAGTTATTGCCTCTGAGGCTCTGTTGTTCTCTGTATACTGACATCAATACTGATATAAAGTCCTGGGTATCCAGGGGTGTACATAAGACCCAGGGGCGGGGGGAATTTCCCCGTCTATAATGACATTATCGGGCATTGCCAATCTCAACCCAAAGTTCAGCTTTTATTAGTATATATATTTATACAGGAAACAACTTATCAAATGTTCATCAATTTTTAAAAGTTTTAAATGCATGGATATGTTATAGCTAATAGTTGGTTGGACAAATGGAAATCTACATACAGGTGTAGTACACAAACAAAACATTATCATTGGCCTAAGGTCACTGGAACATTTATAACAACTGAGATAGAGGAAACAATACTAAAACAAAATATTCATTTCTTTTTCTTGGGAAAATTATTTAAGTGAGATTTTGTAACCTTACCAATGATACTGTAGAAAATGTAATCATTATCTATAAATTTTGAAGGAAAAAGATGTTGTACAGTATAGTATATTGTAATAATATTGGATTTTATTTCAGATTTTCTGTGACTTAGTTCGATTAATAAACAAAAAGAATCCAGAGAGACGACCTAAAAACACAAAGTCCAAGTCAAAATGTGCAATACTTTAGACCACACTGTGTAAGTCTGTGTTTATAGATCTACAGTAGTCAGAGATGAGGCGGCCATAGGAAACCAATTCCTGTCTGTACAAAAAATTAATTCAATCAGACCTACAGCCGAGTAAACACTGAAGACTGTGATTGGATCAAGTGGATTCAAAATGGAGTCAAATTAAGATTTGATTCAAAATGGAGTCAAATTAAGATTGGATTCAAAATGGAGTAAAATTAAGATTGGATTCAAAATGGAGTCAAATTAAGATTGGATTCTTATTTTATGTACAGACAGTTAACCCTGTGGCTGCATCTGACCTGACTACTGAACTTTGTAATCTTTACTGATGTATTTATCTTTGTTTTCAGGTTTTCTGTGGGTTGGTTAGGTTAATAAATAAACGTACCCCAGCCCCCGGAAAATCTCCAGGATCAGGCAGTAAAAAGTCGTGTAGGCTGCTGTAGGGTGGGTAGGCATGTGTTTCTAGCTTGTTCAGAGCAGACCTCTGCTTGGCTTGGAATATTAGTGATTGGCTGCCTGTCTATAGAGTTATTGGCTGCCTGTTGTCTATAGAGAGGTCCTGCTTTGTATCAGTTTGTGGATGTTTCAGCAGATTTATACCTGGCTTTGATTTCAGTTTGATCCAGGCACAACAGGTCTTGTTTTAACTTCTTAAGAAGTTGATCTGTAATGTAGATTCAATATGTTTGGCAGCATCTGTGATGTTGGACCAATATGTTTGGCAGCATGCATTATTAGTAATAAGGGATAAATTTGTGGAGTTGTCATCCTTGAGTAAATTCAGTGTATATGTATATAGCATTGGGCATGAGTAAATAGGGTTATTGATTGAAAACAGACCTGATAGATATTTTATGAGCGTGTGACATATATATAGATCTCATTTTGTAAGTTCACCTCTCCCCAAGGTAAAAGTGAGCTTACTGATTTACAATTGGCTGGCCTTGTCTGTCAGTCATTTTTGGTTCGTAGTCTGTAAATGTACCATGTTTTTATATTCTTCTCCAGAACAAGTACTGGGCCAGTTTCAACCAAAATTTTTAAATTAGTTAAAAAAAGATTCAATTGGTCAAAATAAAGATATGATATAAGATATTTATTTTAAGACGGAAACGTTAACATTGCTGAAGAGACATTCATCCTTTATAGAGAGCCTTTCATCTGTCCAAGAGGAGATATATGTAATTAAAAAATATGAAGAATAGGGTCGGGTCACTGTTAAATGCAACTATTAAACAGAATTATTTTACAAAATTCCTGTATTGATTTATTTTAAAGACTGAAATGGGAACCAGATAAACCTGTTTTAGGACAGAGAACCAGAATTTTTTTAAACGAAAGTCTCAATCTCAAAAGCAGTTGAGGACAGATGATACAAACAAATGTTAATTATCATTATATCTCATATCACTGTCAGTCTGTTTTTGTATAACATGTCTGTAATAGTTGTCATGTTTTGTTTCCATGTTAGCATCATGTTGTATATATCATCTCGCATGTCTATGTTGTCCATTATATCATATGTACATTCTGTACATTATATCATGTGTACATGTTGTCCATTATATCATGTGTACATGTTGTCCATTATATCATGTGTACATGTTGTCCATTATATTATGTGTACATGATATCAAGTTTACTTTCTGTACATTCTATCATGTGTACATGCTGTACATTATATCATGTGTACATGCTGTACATTATATCATGTGTACATGCTGTACATTATATCGTGTACATGCTGTACATTTTATCATGTGTACATTCTGTACATCTTGTTTTAACATGTATGTCTTGTACGTCATTGTTGTGTTCTCCATCACCCCTGTTTTGTGTCATTGAGATATTTTTTCTATAAAAGTTCTGTTATCAGCTATTCAGTATACGTATACTAAATACAGTATGTATCATGTATGTCAGATTACCCTTCATATGTATCAATACATTTCTCTCAGTGTGTATCATTCCCATTATTAAGTGTGTATTTTTACAACAGTAAATGTGAGGTGAAATATGTCATTCTAAAAATGATTACAAGTCAGAATTCAGAAAATAAAATTTTATCCAGGAGTAAAAACTAATTTTTTTTAGAAAATGACAAAAGCATTTGTGAAAATTTAGAGTGTTTCTAGAATAAAAAGTTGACTCTCTTTAAAAAAATGTTAGATCCGGCAACCAAAAAAAGGACCAACAACATTGCAAGCTTCATTTCTCATATCAGTTGATTACAATAATGGTTATATATTGACAGTACAAAATTCACAAGCAATAATAAGAGTAGACAGGTAGAAGAGTTATTTGTCATTTTATTTGTTTGTCAAATAAGCACAGAGGAAAAAAAAAGACATTTCTTCTTTTTACCAAATTGGAGGGTCTGGGCACACTGAAATATCTCGCTTGTTTTATTGATCTCACATCATTATTTTGATGGTTTTAACATTTTATCATGTCTTTTCTTTACAAAATGACACATGTTCCTCCAGATGGTGTACTATTGTTTTCAGAGGGTTATAAGTGAAAGTGGCAAATACAGGGTGTTTCATAATATATGTTACATTTTGAATCTCCAATTTGACAGACAAAAGAAAAAGATACAGATAAGTCTTTTTATCAAATTAATGCACATATCCATAAGATTCATGATGTACATTTACCAACTAAAATATTAAACACTGAACATAATCTTAAACATTAATGAAAATTAGCGAAATTTCCAAGTTGCGCTATTTTTGCTATGTTGAATTTCACAACGTCAAAAGTTCACATTACATGTTATAAATGATCTCCATTTATTCAACAACAAATGACGTTGTTTCTTGAAATTTGTATAAAACCTTGTCACATTTTTGCTTAGACACTCCTCATTTGAAGGTTCATGTATTTTCTAAGCTCATTCAATATCTGTGGTCTAGGATTGAAGACCCTTTCCTTAAGAACCCCTCAGAAAAGAGCCCAAAAATTGAGATTGTCAAATGAAGAGGTCAAACTCTTTCCTTGCATCAATTATTGATAATTTGTATACTGATTACTTCAAATCATATTTGAAAGTTCATTATATGCTGAAAATGCTGATATTCTGAAAATATCTATCAGACACTTCTCTCAGAAGATTGCTACACTAAGAGTCTCGACTTCACCAATAACATCTCCGCTTCTTAATGACTTCTGGCTTTCTGAAATACTGTGTCATTTATCGCATACTGTCCGTCCCTGTCCTTTAACCTTGTTACTACCCTTCTGATAAGCATCCTAGAAAGCTTCTATTTTATTTTGGAAAATTTATTTCATGAACTAGTAAATGAATAGAATGAATATTAGCGACATAATCTGAAAATAAAAACAGCTTTACAATTCTTACAATTCAGCACTGAGTGGATTAGTCAAGTCCATCTCGAGAAATATCCAAATTATGACATCAACGTTTATAGCACATTTAATCATTTCAAGACCATGATTTCCTTGACTTTTTCACATGGAACAAAAATGCAGGATTCAATGTTTAAAATGATATAAAGTTTGTAATAGAAGTATGATAGGTAAGAAAAATAATTAGATCTTAAAATGTAACATATATTATGAAACACCCTGTATATAGTAAATTTCCCTTTCCATGTTGATGTTCTAATGCATGTGAGTGGTAGTTATTTGTGACCCAAATGAAAATATGAAACTCTTTTACTGGTAAATTCAAAATTCCCCTTTGTATAACCAGGATAGAAGAATTGAGTTGAAAATTAAAAAAATCCAGATTAATAAGTCATTTTGACAAAATTTTTGAAAATATTTAATACGTGTTATTAACATGACAATTGTCTTTCATTTTTAGGAGGCAGATTTCAGTCTTAGCTCTGACTGATTACAAAAAGTTACAAAATCAATGAACCACTCTATAGTACACAGGCATCGCTTTTCATAATTAAAGTTAAACTACAATCATTAGTTCATCATAATTAAAGTTAAACTACAATCATTAGTTCTTCTTTTGGACCATTCTTGCTGAGTAGAATCTGAACACCCTTTATGACCTACTGATGAGTTAAAACCAAATTTTAAAGCTCCAGTCCCTTTTAATATGGTATGTGTCTAGGTGTCTATTGTTCATTTAACAATGAAATGATAGCTTAGTCCCAAAAAATTAATTAACAGTTTCTCAGGCCAAAAAATTCAAAATTCAATGCGACAGGCAAGGCTTTTCTTTTCTTTTCTTTTCTTTTTTTTTTTTTTTTTTTTTTTTTTTGAAGCAGGTTTTACACTTTTTTAAAGTCATTTGTTTAAAAAAATGATAATATCTACCATTTCTTAAGTTTTGTTCTCTGAAATTAGTTATAATATGTATTCAACTTTAAATAATGTTATTCCAAACATTCGTTGAAAAGTTAACTCAGAAAATACTGTAAATTTAGAAGAAATATTTTGTTTTTTTAAGAAAAACGTCTTTCTTCACATTTATGAAAAGAGGAATAACTCGATTTTCTTTTTCAACTTGGAAAAATAGAAAATTGAGTTATTTCCCTTTTCAATAAAATTGATCAATGGGGCCATTTTTGACTTGATGTGGCAGTGCTTGAGAAATTATTGATTTTTTTTTTTTTTTTGGCCTTAAATTCACTTTTTCCAATGTTTGATGATGATTTAAAACTGAAGAAAATTCAAACTTTTTTCACTGGGCGTGCTTGATTGGTAGCTTGAATTTTTATACGCCCGTCTTAAGACGGGACGTATTATGTTATAGGCTTCATGTCCGTCTGTCTGTCCGTCTGTCCGTCCGTCCGTCTGTTAGCTTTTCTCATGTCCGGCTCATAACTTGAATACTATAAGGCCTAGAGTTATCAAACTTTGTCAGCTGATACATCTCGGGTAGAAGGTGTGTCGTGCACAAAAAGTAGGTCGCTCTGACCTATAATTAAAAAGTTATAGCCAAATATGGAAAAATCCTGTCCGGTCCATAACTTGAAAACTATTAGACTTAGAATCATCAAACTTGGCCACTTCATGCATCTTAGGTAGAGGGTGTGTCGCGACCTATTTCAAGGTCACTGTGACCTTTAATTTAAGTGAAATTTAAAAAAAAAAATGTCTTTTTTTCTCTTCATTTGCACACTCCAAAAAATGTAAAAGTATTGCACTATCCTTATTAGAAAAATGTTAAATCAAGAAAAATACTTGTTTTTTTTAGCATATACTTGACAGCAATCTATAACAAATGTAATGTATGTTAAAGAAATTCCACCACTCCCATGAGTTTAATTATCAAGCACTGGTCAAGAAGAATTTTGATAACAGAAAATTGCATGTCAAATTAGAGAGAGAAATTAATGAGTTTAGTGTGAGGAAGAGCATCGGTGCTATCTATATCCCTTGAGTATTGGGCCAAATGGGTAATCCTGTTGGATTAAAAATAGCTCTTGTTGGCTAGCATAAGTTTTAAAATGAATTTGATGAGAAGTAAATAAAACTAATTTGATTTTGCATAATAAACTGTTTTGATATTACATAAAATTATGAACTTTAAAAAAACTAATTTTATGGGGGTGGGGTGGAATCAGCATGTCCATATGAATTGCATATTAAAACCTGTCTGCCATTAAATCTAACAAAAAAATCATTGAGGTTTTATATGTTTTAAAAATCCTTTATGGTAGATAGTGCAGATCCAATAATCTCTTGGGAGTAATGAGTAGACAAGCATCCAGTTAAAGATTAATTAATGTGTTCAATGTAGCAAGGCTATAGCTGTCTCAATTATTTCTTCAGAGCATTCTCTTAACTGACAGTGTATCCTTTGGGAATTAGACAGAAGAACTGTTGGTCATTTTATATTTGATGGCCAGCCTTTCATTTTCAAAATTAATTAGGTATAGATTAAGTTGTTAAGCCTAATTTGATATTGTTTAATATGATAGGCATTTGGCAAGGTCTAACACAACCAGTATAGAAATCTATGAATGATGCAATACATGTATATGTTATAATGAATGCCTACACCACAGGAGATGGATAAACAAATTTTTTAAGGAGTTGAAAAATCATGGAAATCTAAAATCAAGGTTGACATGATTTTCTTGCACTTTTGATTGTTTAAGATAATTGTAATTTTTTGACGGGCGTATCATGCTGTGGCGTGGCACTTTATTGGGAATTGGCGGAATTACAATCAAGTTCGTCGGAATTCAATTCCGGCGCAGTTCTATCAATTCTGTGTTGAGAGGTGGTGTGAAAAGAATTAAAGATGGCGACTACTGTGTACATTTGCTGAGAGTGCCGATTAAAACGTATGAAGTTTTCCCTGTATTTGGACCCTAATACAGTCCTATAGACCTATTTGCAAATCAAATTTAATATTGTTCTCATAATATTATTCAAATCATGTTAATTTTTAAGTTCACCTACGAGCTGCACACAGCAAACATCATGATATTCTGTCTTCACAGCATTCACTCCCACTTTCATCCTCCATTGCATATTACAATAAATCATTTAATAGGAAGAAATTCTTTACTTGTTGAGCTTCAGCCATATTTTGAACTAATTCCGATTCCAGTTTTACTTGATAGGTAGAAATTTTGGAACTCTCGGAATTGAAATCTGACTTTACAATCAAGCACACCCACTGACAGGTTTTTATTTTGAGTGTCTCAGTGTTTCGGTAATTTGAAGTATTGTTAGTCTATTAGTCTTCACAGAGTGGGCAGGTTATTTGTGGTGTAAAACAAGGATTAATAATCAGGGAGAGTCTTCTTGTCTTTACACTGTGATAATTTGATTCAAAATTATTGTGTGATTTAACAGTCTATGGTCATGATGTTAAGGTTTTCATAATAGGGTAATGTCTTCAATGGATCCATGTTTATCAGCAGAAGGTATCTGTTATGTCTAGGTTTCATGTTTCTGTTTTTAAGCAGACAATCAGATATGTTATTACATTATTTTCTGTTTCATGTTTCCTTCATACCAACGAGAGGAAATGGATATTATTTGTCTCAATATCATGTTTCTCCACTAAATCAGAACGTATAATTGGTTACTTGTTCCTATACTGAATCAGATTGTGGACGCACTATTTTATATACTGGAGAGTTAAAAATTATGCTCCGTCGGCCCCTATTGTTGTCCCCCGCTTGAAAAGTGGGGGATATTAATTCGGGTTTGTCCGTCCGTCTTTCTGTCTGTCTGTAACGCTTTCGTTTCCACACGATATCTCGAGAACCCTTTGAGCTTTTGCAATGAAATTTAGCATAGCAACTCCCTATGGACTAATGAAGACCCCTATTGATTTTGAGGTCAAAAGGTCAAAGGTCAAGGTCATAAATAAGCAATTTCTGTCTGTTAAAACACTTTCGTTTCCACACGATATCTCTAGAACCATTTGAGCTATTGCAATGAAATTTTATATAACAACTCCCTGTGGCCTAATAAAGACCCCTATTGATTTTGAGGTCAAAAGGTCAAAGTTCAAGGTCGTAAATTTATACATTCTGTCTGTGTGTAATACTATTATTTCCGGGCGATATTTCAAGAAGATTTTGAGCTTATGCAATGTAATTTATATCAAAACTCCCTAGGACGTCTCTCGCCCCTCTCAAAGTGCCCCGCCCCCTTTGTTTTATTAGTATTTATAGTATTAATTACATGTCGCTATTTTTAGCGCAGGGGCATGAGGAGAGTTATTGCGTATAAAACAGGTTCTCGGCGGACTTTATGTTCTTATTACATCTATTAGAACTGTTTAATAAAGGCTAAATAAATCAAACACCATGGATTGTGTAAAATTTTGAGAATACCGAACATGAAAACATGAATATATACATGTATGTGACTCCACTTCCGCATATACTTCACTCCAGGTAAAGTGATTCCATGGTCCAGTGGTTATGTCTCTCGCTTCAAATGTGAGAGGTCCCGGGATCGAATCTCGGTCGAACCCTTCTTTTTTTTCTTTTTTTTCTTTTTTTCAAATACTTTTTTTTTTACTAAATGATAGTATTCAGCATGTGAAATGAAAAATTTATGAGGTTATAAAATCATCATTACAGTGTTATAAAAATTCCATATAAAAAAATCTTCTATGCACATAATGAAGAATAAGCATCTTTATATGCATATTGACGTACATATATTTTATTTGCTTCAGTATACATGTATAAATTTAATAATTCTACAAATTCAGTCAGGGGGAGCCGACTTTTTCCCTAAGCGGGGGACACGAATTCTCTGAATTAGCTTGTTTATGTTTCATTTAATATTTTCATATTTTCTTGACCCAAATTGTAAATAATATGCTTTTATATTTTTTTTTTTTTTTTAGAAATTTGAAGAGATGAAGAGAAGCAGAAGAAAACATTTGGATCCACCCCCCCATAAAGTGTAACCATCTGTATACTGACAATATTGAGGAGAGAGAATCTGGTGATGATTAACAAACCACTCCACAGACTTCTACCACAGTTTATCATTTTCTGACGGGGGATTTATATTTATAATTCTGTATATATTTATATAGCTTCTACACAGCTTAGAGATTTACTGTTTATAGTAACAATAACGAGGAGGCGGAGTCTAGTGATGATTGACAGCTTTGAAATTTTAGTTTAAAGTAAAGGACTGGGGTTATTTGTGCTAGCTTGTACAATTTTTTGTTGTATGAATATGTCAATTCTGAATTGCTGGACACATTTTTTCTGGTGATACCCTTCAACTTTTGCAGTATTTTTGAAAGTCAATTTATTTGTTTCACAGTTACAAGAAAAACTTACTGAAAATAATTTGAAGAAGAGGTTGGTACGTTTTCTTTCCTGTTAATAAATATTTAAAGGCAGACACTGTATGGAAGACAGCTTTGTTGCATTGCAGACTGGGTAAAATGAGTTGATATTATGTTTAAAGCTTGGTTAGTAGAAATAGATTCCCATTGTCTATGTTCCTTGAATTTTGCACTTAAATCCAAACAATAATCCGTTGTCCTGACTGACAATTTGTATGATACAACAGTGTGTTATAACTGGGCATAGTAATCAAGTTAAGTTATGTAATCACTAGGACTGCATTTTTACTCATGTTCAAAACTCTGTCATATAAATACAGTGTATGAGAAAAAATTATATGAATGAAGTTCCCAGCTCCCATTTTTCTGTCTAAGGCCAGTCCTAAACCTAAAATAAATTGTGAGATAATATTTCTCTCTATGAATTATCTTGTAGTGACAAATTTTCTCTTTTTGTAAAATGACTGTGGACCTTAATTATTGAATGTTTTATATGAATGTCACTGACTTATTTTATGCTATATGTTATCTTACTGTCTATTAATAAATTTGATAATAAAAAGGTGCTTAAAGTCAACTCCTGTTTTGTTAATGAAATATAACAGGAAGGGAATGAGTGTGAATAAATCTGACTTGAATTTTTTTATTATAATCCAAGTAAAGTGTTTATTGGCCTGTGTCCCACCCTTCTGTTTACAAAGCATTTCCAGTCAAAGTGTACAGCTGATAAAACCGTGTGTGGCTAGGTGTAACCATTAGTGTATGCTTGTTATAACAGGACTTGCACTAACTGTAGTATAGCAATGGACCATCTCTTAGGAGTGTAATTTGTGTCTTGTCATTTCCTGCACAATGCAAGGCCATCCATGTATGGACCATCATTAGTGTGATTGTGTCCTTGCTAATCAACAAATATTGGAGCTTTGGGGCACCAAGATGATCAACTGCCAAGATTCCATAATTCCCAGTATGTGAAATATTCAGCTTAAATGATGAATGACTGATTAGAAGTAGGTCTTCGTGACACACTTTGTGGCCTTAATATGCATCAAAGTTTAGGGTCATCACATTTTCCCAAGCAGTATATTGGGTCAATATATCTAAGGTTTTAATATACATACCGGGTATGTAAACCTAGGATATTTGAGGATCCAGCGAAGAATGGAGACATACAAAAAGAGAAATGCCCCACTCTGAAATAGATAACATTTCCAAATTCTAAATGATCCTAATATTACAAAGTTTGACAATACTAGGTCTCAGAGTATCAAAAATTTAAAATGGCTTAAAATTATATATATATATATGTATATATATAGCATTGTATTGTCAAACTCCTGAAGATTGGAAATGAAACCGGTTGAGTTTATTTCGGTGTTGTGATTTTTTTTTTTAACAATACGTGTGTGGATTTATACTACATATATATATATATATATATATATATATATATATATATATATATATATATATATATATATATATATATATATATATATATTGTATCATTACTGTTTAACTCATTATACAGTTACCATTAGATGCAACTACTAAAAATTGGTCATTTTATTTTTTGATTGTCTGGGGTCATTTGATTGTCTGGGGTCAATTGTCTAGGGTTAATTGATTGTCTAGGGTCATTTAATTGTCTGGGGTCATTTGATTGTGCATGGCCATTTGACTGTCTGGGGTCAATTGATGGTCTCGGGTCATTTGATAGTCTGAGGTCATTTTGTCTGAGGTCAACTGATGGTCTAGGGTCATTTGTCTAAAGTCATTTGATTGTTGTGGGTCATTTGATTGTATGAGGTCATTTGATTTTCTAAGGTCATTTGTTTGTCAGGTTGTCTGGAGTCATTGGATTGTTGTGGGTCATTTGATTGTATGAGGTCATTTGATTTTCTAAAGTCATTTAGTGTCATTTGATTGTCAGGTTGTCTTGGGTCATTTGATAATTGTTGGTCATCTAATAATCTGGCAACATTTGATTGTCTGACATCATTTGATTTTCTAAGGTCATTTGAATTTCTAAGGTCATTTGATTGTCTAAGGTCATTTGATTGTCTAAGGTCAATGGATTGTCACGGGTCATTCGATTGTCTGGTGTCATTTGACTGTCTGGGGTCATCTGATTGTCTAGGGGTCATTTGATGGTCTGGGGTCATCTGATGGTCTAGGATCAGTTGTCTAGGATCATTTAATTTCTGGGGGTCATTTGACTGTCTGGGGTCATTTGATTGTCTAAGATCATTTAATTGTCTGAGGTCATTTTATTGTCTTGGGTTTATTTGATTGTGTGGATTCATTTGACTGTCTGGGGTCATTTGATTTTCTGAGGTCATTGATTGTCTGGGGTCATTAGATTGTCTGAGGTCATTTAATTGTCTGGGGTCATTTGACTGCCTGGGGTCATTTGATTTTCTAAGATCATTTAAATGTCTGAGGTCATTTGATTGTCTAGGGTCATTAGATTTTCTAGGGTCATTTAATTTTCTGGGGTCATTTGAATGTCTAGGGTCATTAGATTTTCTGAGGTCATTTGATTGTCTAGGGTCATTTGATTTTCTAGAGTGATTTTTATTCTAGGGATCATTTGGTTGTGTGGGGTGTCTAAGGTCATTTGACATACTAAGGTCAATGGATTATCACAGGTCATTTGATTGTCTAGTGTCATTTGACTGTCCGGGGTCATCTGTCTAGGGGTCATTTGATGGTCTGGGGTCATTTGATGGTCTGGGATCAGTTTGATTGTCTAGGGGTAATCTGATGGTCTGGGGTCAGTTTGTCTAGGGGTAATTTGATGGTCTGGGATCAGTTTGATTGTCTAGGGGTAATCTGATGGTCTGGGATCAGTTTGATTGTCTAGGGGATCAGTTGTCTAGGGTCATTTAACTGTCTGGGGTCATTTGATTGTGTAGGGTTGTTTGATTGTGTGGGGTCATTAGATTGTCTGAGGACATTTGATTGTCAATGATTGGATATGCCTGTAGTGGTGAAAAGGGAATGATTTTGAACTTTGTGAGTCTTTTTGCATTGGCCCAAAGGAATCCTGATTTTTGTTCGATCACCAGACTATTTTTACAAGTCCTGAATGAAAAATTCAAAACAAATACACACATCTGAAAATATTTTAATGGATAAAAAAAATGATGAGAATAAGATGACTTTATGTACTCTATAACAAACATGGCCGGTCCTCTCAGAGGAATTTCATTTAGATGTAGTTAAAAGTACTCAGCACAATCAATATTAAAAATTAACTTAACGACTCAATGTAATTAAAACTGAGACTGCTGAAATAGTCAATAAATACTTCTATATAATACTGTACAGAAATTGAACATTTTGCTCTAGATACAAAATGTGGGTTTGTAGTATACATGACATTTTGAACTCTAAATGATTCTGTAAGAACTCAATAGCATTGAGACATGTTCATCATTGACAAGTACAGCTTTATACAGAACATGGTGGACGTAGATTCTTAAATCAGAATATAAATGTAGAAACACATAGCAGCTGGAGGAGTGATGGACATTAAATGTTCTGGGCGTAAAATGATACGTTACATGGCCTGTATTAATACTGTCTAAAGAATGGGGGGATCATTGCTACACCGCTATCTCAGTATGTTTCTTGATGTACTTGGATTGCAAATTAATTAAATAAGAGTATGTCATCAAATTTATGTACAAGTTGACTGTAAATCACTTGATTCTATAGCATGCATAATGTACATATGTCTTTTACTCTAGTTCAAAGCGCCGGTGTGTAACTAATGCTATAATGAGATATTTTTCAGTAGATAAATCATGCGTCACAACATCTAAGTTCACAATTACATTCACTGTTGTCTATTGCATTTGTCAGCCTCCAGGGGAGCCTGCTGTCATTATTGCCATGGCAACAGTCACCATGACTACAAAGTACATTACAAGTCTGTACATGGGGTAGAGCCACTTCTACACTAGGTGTCAGCACTGTTTGTAAGCTATAACATTTTATTCATTTGATGCCCATGTAATGTATCCTGCCATAATTAATGAATCCAAGAAATCAGTTTAGATTGACTTTGCTGAAATCCTGTACAATGGCATGCTACATTTGGTCCTCAACAGAATGCCTTCTTATCCATCCATTGTTCATGTCCTTTGATGGCTCTAAATAAATCACATCAATGAATTTTTATTTCACATGTTGAGGTTCTATTGATAGTTTACTAGTTTTCTTAATGTTCACATATCCACCTTGTCTTGGTGCTTCATCTCCATATTTTGACCAGACTGAAAGTCTGGCGTGTTCTGACCTAGATTTCCGTGGTAATCTTTGGAGCCTGGATACTCGGGGGGCATCATTGTATTGGACCCAGGCATGTGCATGCCGTGATGCATGTTATATTGCTGTTGTCCTGGCATTGGGATACCAGGCATGTACGAAGGGTCCATTCCTGGCATTAAATAAGGTTGTGGCATAGGGAAGGGGTACGGGGCAAAGGGAAACCCCATCATAGGCATGGAAGGCATCCCAGTCATAGAGGGCATGGACATCTGACTGCTGGTGGGGGGCAGGGACGAGGGGACAGAGGATGTGGGGGGCTCCTCATTAGGCATAGGACTTGAGTACGGCATGGAGCCCATCCCAGACATCGGAGGGTACCCCCCACCCTGGTTATACATCAGCTGGTTCTGGAACAGATACGGCATGTGAGGGGGTCCCATCCCTCCTCCCATCGGAAGCCGGTACTGAGGCAGCGCAGAATTCCCAGTCATCTGAGAGGACATTGATGCATTGCCACCGAAACTGGGCGACATATTAGGATTAACTCCCATGGTAGATGATGAACTGGAATTACCACCAATTTGGGATGACATATTAGAGTTAGTGTCCATTTGAGATGACATATTAGATTTACTACCCATTTGAGATGGCACATTCGAGTTACCACCCATTTGAGATGGCATATTCAAGTTACCACCCATTTGAGAAGGCATATTCGAATTACCACCCATTTGAGATGGCATATTCGAGTTACCACCCATTTGAGATGGCATATTCGAGTTACCACCCATTTGAGATGGCATACAAAGATTATTCCCCATTTGTGGTAACATATTAGAAGTATCACCCATCTGAGAGGACATCGTGGGATTCCCCCTTGGCTGGGATGAGATCCTGTTAGGAGCTATTTTTGGATAACGTGGCTCCTCCTTACTGACGTGAGAACTATCAGAACTGTCTGTACTCCTGTCTGTTCCTGCAGTGTTGTTAAAGTCGGACTGGTTAGAGTTTTGACAGTTCATCTCTCCTAACAAGTCTGATCGGCCAAACTGTGAAGCGAGGGATGCACTGGAGTCTGTGCGTGAGATTGGGGGCTTGTCCTGGGAGGGGGTGGAGTACAGAGAGGCCAGGAGGTCGGTGGTGTCCGACTCTTTAGAGGAGGCAGGATTGGTCTGAGATTCACTCGGGGAGTCCGCAGATTCCTCAGAAGAGGCCAGAAGGTCAGCTGTTGTTAACACTGAAAAAGACAAATAATGGTTTTAACATTGACAGGTCATCAATACAGAGTACAGGTTTGTGTTAATAGGTATCATTGAAAGTTTCTCCATTATCCTATATTTCCTAGGCCATGACCAACTCATCCCTTACTAGAGCCTAAATTCTATGTGCTTCAAAACATAAAATCTGGATAGTTCAACAAAATTTTGATAAATGATAGTTCTACATAAATTAAAAGAATTTCAAATCTATATTATGTGGACTATCTATGAGGTCATACCTGAGCTTCCACTGGTTGCCGTGGTAGCAGACGTTGTCGTGGTAACAGCAGTGGTTGTCCCTGGCAATGGAAATTTTGCCCGGACAGCGAAAATCTTTCCAGAGTTTGTTCGTATGTAGACACCTTTGGGAGTCTTAATGATGAAAATCTGTTGTCCGGCTGGAATTCTGTTGGTCCCCGCTGTAGACTGTGTACTGGTGGCCGTCCCAGGTAACATAATATCTGTAAACAAAGAGGAACATCACATAACATCTGTAAAAGAAGAGGAATGTTACATATCTGTAAATGATGTGGACCATTACATATCTGTAAAGGAAGAGGAACGTTACATAACATCTGTAAAGGAAGAGTAACATTACATAACATCTGTAAAGGAAGAGGAACGTTACATAACATCTGTAAAGGAAGAGGAACGTTACATAACATCTGTAAAGGAAGAGCAATATTACATAACATCTGTAAAGGAAGAGGAACGTTACATAACATCTGTAAAGGGATAGGAACGTTACATAACATCTGTAAAGGAAGAGGAACGTTACATAACATCTGTAAAGGAAGAGGAACGTTACATAACATCTGTAAAGGAAGAGGAACGTTACATAACATCTGTAAAGGAAGAGTAACATTACATAACATCTGTAAAGGAAGAGCAATATTACATAACATCTGTAAAGGAAGAGGAACGTTACATAACATCTGTAAAGGGATAGGAACGTTACATAACATCTGTAAAGGAAGAGGAACGTTACATAACATCTGTAAAGGAAGAGGAACGTTACATAACATCTGTAAAGGAAGAGGAACATTACATAACATCTGTAAAGGAAGAGGAACGTTACAAAATATCTGTAAAGGAAGAGGAACGTTACATAACATCTGTAAAGGAAGAGGAACGTTACTTGACATCTGTAAAGGAAGAGGAACGTTACATAACATCTGTAAAGGGATAGGAACGTTACTTAACATCTGTAAAGGAAGAGGAACGTTACATAACATCTGTAAAGGAAGAGGAACGTTACAAAATATCTGTAAAGGAAGAGGAACGTTACATACTGTAGATCACTATATTTTTGCGACACCTTATTTTCGCGAGATAGTCATTGACTCTTGATTAGCGAAACAAAATTTTCACGAATTGTGGTTATTGTTCTATATAATCTTAAGGAATGCTATTATACGTGAGAATAAAATTTTCGCGAGCACACTGTCTCGCATAATTACGCGAAAATAAAGTTCTTGCGAATAAAAAGTGATTTACAGTAATATCTGTAAAGGAAGAGGAACATGACATATTAATATTTTTAAAATAAGAAGAATATAATACAGTATAAAAGAGGCTTTAAACAAATTGCCAGAGGGGTGGGAGATGATTTTGTTTCATTATAAAGTTAACATAGTTTTATTCATCAATAAGTTTTCAATATATTTCAAGTCGCAGGAAAGAAAATCACTTCACTCTTAATGTCAATTCATTATAAGTGTGTGCCATAAGCAAGTTTTACTTTAAATGTAGTGGAATATAATATCTGTAATGGAATATTGTAAACCAACTATTATTCACCATCTTTTATTTGCGATTCATCAGTTTGAAACCAATCCACAAATATTAATTTTCATGAATAAGGAAACATTTTCTACAACAAGAGGCCCATGGGCCACATCGCTCACCTGAGCACTGTGGCTAGGAAAACGTAGAAATTGGTTTATTATTGAAAAGTTTAAATCCAAAAATAGTCCCATGACCAATCATGGATTTGCTATTCTTGAGAAGAAATTTTAAAAAATTTTCCTATATATTTCTATGCAAAAAATTTGGTTGGCCATTTTGCCCCGCCCTACCACCAGGGTCATGATTTGAACAAACTTGAATCTACACTACCAGAAGATGCTTCCATATAAATATGATCAATTATAGCTTTGCTTTTCTTGAGAAGAAGATTTTTAAAGAATTTTCCTATATAGTTCTATGTAAAACTTTGGTTGGCCATTTTGCCCCCCCCCCCCCCTACCCCTAGGGGTCATGATTTCAACAAACTTGAATCTACACTACCTGAGCATGCTTCCATATAAATATGATCAATTATGACTTTACTATTCTTGAGAAGAAGATTTTTAAAGAATTTTCCATTTATTTTGATGTAAAACTTTGGTCGTCCACAGTGGCCCCGTCCTACCCTCAGGGTCATGATTTGAACAAACTTGAATCTACACTACCTGAGGATGCTTCCATATAAGTTTCAGCTTTCCTGGCACAGTGGTTCTTGAGAAGAAGATTTTCAAAACATGCCACCAAATTTTTATTAATTCCCAATTATATCCCCTTGAATGAGGGTGTGGCCCTTCATTTGAACAAACTTGAATCCCCTTCACCCAAGGATGCTTTGTGGCAAATTTGGTTGAAATTGGCCCAGCGGTTCTTGAGAAGAAGTCGAAAATGTGAAAAGTTTACAGACAGACGGACAGCTAAACAGACGGACTACAGACAAAATGTGATCAGAAAAGCTCCTTGAGCCTTCGGCTCAGGTGAGCTAAAAACCAAGCAAAATACATGGTCCAAGGCGATTAATATTTGAGACTAAAAGTAGGTCCCAAAACTCTTCTCGCATGCGAATAAAGTTGGTTTACAGTACAGTGTTGTCCCTTAGCAGTCTGATCCAAATCAAACCTTCTACTACCACCTTTATTTTGATTGTTGTGTACACAAGGAGCTGGTGGGAGGTTTAATTCTTATCAGATTGGTCCCCAAGACCCAGGAATGTCCCCCACCTATAATGACCTAATTTTACCTGTAGTGGTCAGGACTTTGTGGACAGACACACCAGGTTTGTTTTTGCTGATGATTGGCAGGTTTCGGTTGTCACCTCGTCCGACCCCCTTTGGTTGCATGGGGACTGGGGTCGTTACCATGGGTTTGACACTGGCTACTGGTCGAGAGGTATAAGTAGTGGATGGCCTAAAATAAGAAATATCAATTGAAGATAAAATCACTGCCGGGCTTGTGTACTTCTAAATTAAAAGAAGATAATATGTACATATGTATAGTTACAGTCAAAAATGGATATTCTTGAAATGAAAGGCATGAAAGATAAAATTGATTCAATGTGGGTTTACAAAGACAGGCGTGACAGATTAAATTGATTCAGTGTGGGTTTATACTGACCAAATAGGCTGTGAGGGTGGAGACACAATCTTGATCTGTCGGGAGGGGCCTTCCTGTCCCTTGGGATAGAAGGCAGCGTAGGACGGTCGGGAGTAAGAGACATTAAGACGTTTCTCCATCACGTAACTCTGCTGGGCCAGTCGCTTCTCTTTTTTCGTCAGTCTTAGTTCCTTCTTATCAATTAATAGCGACTCATGTTCAAATGGTTTCTAAAATACAAAAAAAAATATTTAAACTGTATCAAACAATGAACAAAATATGTATGAAGTGACAGTTTATATTAATTTTGTATTTCGCTGAAATATTCTACAATGAGTTTCTAAGGAAGTGTAATTCTTTTAGCAGAATTGCAATGATATCTCCTATTACTATGTATTACAAGTGACCTTTACTAAGGTTAGCTAATGACCTTGATTATCATACCCTGGTCAGCTAGTGACCTTGATTATCTTACCCTGGTCATCTAATGACCTTGATTATCTTACTCTGGTCAGCTAGTGACCTTGATTAACTTACCCTGGTCAGCTAGTGACCTTGATTATCTTACCCTGGTCAGCTAGTGACCTTGATTAACTTACCCTGGTCAGCTAGTGACCTTGATTATCTTACTCTGGTCAGCTAGTGACCTTGATTAACTTACCCTGGTCAGCTAATGACCTTGATTATCTTACCCTTGTAAGCCAGTGACCTTCGGTCAGCAGAATCTTGTTCATAATTGGATCCTCGTAATCTTCTTGGCTGAAGTCTATATACTCGTCTTCCTTGTCCTACAAATATTAAAACACAATGTAGAATCTTCCCTGGTTCTGGGGCCACAGAAACTTAGATGCGCCTGCTCTTAATCTCATTTTCACTTTTCTGAAATATTCCTTTAGTAAAAGTGAGACCAAGATCAAAATTGTGCTGGTCTACATTTTTTGGCCTCAGAGCCTAGTTTGTGATTAGGACATAAAAAAATCTAATTCTTATCCACATTTTCTGGAATTAAAAATAAAGTTGAAGGGAAACTGAATACTGATCCCAAGACAAAGAAAAGCAAACTTGAAAAAGTGAGGTGGATGTCAAAAATCAGGGTGAATGGGGATGAGAATCAACGATTTTTTTCATGATGGCCTTAGATATGCTTTCCATCTCTTGGCCTATGATGAGTAAATAAAAACCACTGGAGCTCAATAAAAATCTCATCTGACAACTCAATACTTTGTTACTGGCAGTAGTACTAATCACTTAAATCATCTTACTGAGCCACTGACCTCAAAATGAAGTAAGTTGTCCACCTGTCTCCTGGTCAGGTGATTCTGTATCTGCATTTCATCAATCACACGATCTGTCAAACAATCAAAGTACTGAAAATACTCAGTCTGATAGACTGATAAACAAAAACAGGTCTACAATCATACGATCTGTCAAACAAAATCAGGTCTACCATTACAGCAATTAACAATTTGTTATCAAAATCATAATAATTGAAAACATCTCTACAGTATGTACAAGTGTTGAAATAAAATCACTTATAATTCTACTTAGTTATTTCAGTGACATCTAGACATTCCTTGTTTAGTGCAGCACAGGTGTGGTAAATTAATACTTGGATTAATCATCATTGTGTTATTTACAAGAAATTCCTTGTTTGGACTACGTGTATGGTTAACTAATATTTAATTAATTCAGTGTTACCCTCGATTTACTAGACATATGTAGATCTTTTTTGTGTGACTTACTAGACATTCCCTGTTTGGTGACCTGACGATCGTAGATCTTTTTTTCCATGCTATTATCTGTCACTAGTCGGTACACATAGCTCGGCTTGACTTGTCCAAAGCGGAAAACTCGACAGATGGCCTGACAGTCATGACATGGATTCCAGGAAGCGTCAAGGACTACAACACGATTGGCTCCTACCAGATTGACCCCTAGTGACCCAGCTCTATAAATAGAACAGATGTGAAAGAATCACAATGACCGACAAACAGTGGACTCGATTTAATCACTGGTTATAAATGATTTCATCAATAAAGTTTACTTATTGATTTGTTTTGACTGATTATGAAGTGTATTACCTGGTAGACAGGAGGAATAGCCAGGATTTATTGTTATCCGCCGAGTTGAACTGATTTATCAGCTTCTCTCTCTCCTGGGCTGATGTACTGCCATCCAATCCTGAAAAAAAGGACAACAATCAACTCCAGCATCAGTTCTAATGGGAGTGATGAATATACTGCCATTTATAATTTGCTGGATCTAAGCCTTGTATTGCATTCTCTGATTGGCCTCATGCAAGTCTGCAAGAACCAATCAAAATCATTGTTTTATTCAATTTAAACTAAATTGTAAACAGAAAAACAAGCCAGTTTTAATCCCAAGGATAATGACTTTATCATTCAATAGTCCAGTTAAAGGTCTGTCTCAGCTTTTTAGTCGAATTTATTACCAACTTCCAATATTATCTCGAATTCTCTGTTGAATTCGTTTACTCTGATTGGCCAATAGCAGAGGTCAGTAGAGTTCAATATATGTAATCTCACTAGATGGCGTGACAGTAAACCCTTTCAAACTTGGTCTATTCAGTCAAGAATTTATGTGGAGCGAAGTGGATCAGAAACTCTTGACTTGGGAAGATGATATTTCCAAAGAATCTACTTTTTCAATTTAAAAATCCCATTTGAATGGGTACAGAATCCTTTACCAAAAATTGCCAATTAAGCCCTGCTTTAGCAAGTTTTATGCCACAGGTGAAAATAGGATTCATGTCTGGTCAATAACTTTAAAACTCAGAAACTCGGGCATTATTTTTGCTTGAGGAATTGATAATTTAGCTCATTCTCTATCTTTAAGACAAATATTTACATATATTGTATAAATGCACAACAACTCACGGAAATAGCTCTGGTTTTTGCACCAGTTCTCATCCATATCTGGCCGTGGGACTTTTCTCTTGGACAGAAATTCCTCCAAAAGGTCAAGGGTGAAGAGACTTTGGCTGCAACGTATCAATAATTCATTAACATTTTATTACTGACTTCTATCCATGCAATACATATATACCTAGAACAAATACCTAATGAAGAAAAAAAAATAAACTAAAGACAGTAGTAAATAATGAAAAAATGATTCATGTAAATACTAATATAATGAAAAACTAATAAAGTAGTTTAAAGTAAAAGCACTGAGACTTCCAGTATCTGACCTGTATGTCACCTGAACACCAGGATTTTATCTCCTACGGCAAATGCCTCTGTACCTTACCTAAACACCAAGATTTTATCTCCAATGGCTAATGCCTCTGTATCTCACCTGAACACCAGGATTTTATATCCTATGGCTAATGCCTCTGTATCTCACCTGAACACCAGGATTTTATCTCCTATGGCTAATGCCTCTGTATCTTCCCTAAACACCAGGATTTTATCTCCTATGGCTAATGCCTCTGTATCTCACCTGAACACCAGGATTTTATCTCCTATGGCTAATGCCTCTGTATCTCACCTGAACACCAGGATTTTATCTCCTATGGCTAATGCCTCTGTATCTCACCTGAACACCAGGATTTTATCTCCTATGGCTAACGCCTCCTCTATTATCTTGAACAGGATGACCATTTTTCCTCCAGTCTCCAACAGTCCACTTGTATAGTCTTTAAATAGGTCACTCACCTACAAGTGAAGATATATAAAAATGAACAATCCCCATAAAAAATCATAGGGCAACCTGCCTGTAAGACAAGGGCCAGCTTTGTTTCTGAAAGTTATCATAATAATTATACTTACAAGAGGCCCATGGGCCACATCGCTCACCTGAGCACCAAGGGTAGGACTAGTGTAAAATGGCTTTTTATTGTAAAGTTTAAATCCAAAAGTAGTCCCATGACCAATCATGGATTTGCTACTTTTTAGAAAATGATTGAGAAGAAGATTTTTAAAGAATTTTCCTATATATTTCTATGTAAAACTTTGGTCAGCCATTTTGGCCCCGCCCTACCCCCGGGGGTCATGATTTGAACAAAATTGAATCTACACTACCTGAACATGCTTCCATATAAATATGATGAATAATGGCTTTGTCATTCTTGAGAAGAAGATTTTTAAAGAATTTTCCTATACATCTCTATGTAAAACCTTGGTCGGCCATTTTGGCCCCGCCCTACCCCCGGGGGTCATGATTTGAACAAAATTGAATCTACACTACCTGAGCATGCTTCCATATATATATGAAGAATTATGGCTTTGTCATTCTTGAGAAGAAGATTTTTAAAGAATTTTCCTATATATTTCTATGTAAAACTTCGGTCGGCCATTTTGGCCCCGCTCAACCCCCGGGGGTCATGATTTGAACAAACTTGAATCTACACTACCTGAACATGCTTCCATATAAATATGATGAATAATGGCTTTGTCATTCTTGAGAAGAAGATTTTTAAAGAATTTTCCTATATATTTCTATGTAAAACATTGGTCGGCCATTTTGGCCCCGCCCTACCCGCGGGGGTCATGATTTGAACAAACTTGAATCTACACTACCTGAGCATGTTTCCAGATAAATATGATGAATGATGGCTTTGTCATTCTTGAGAAGAAGATTTTTAAAGAATTTTCCTATATATTTCTATGTAAATTTACTTTGGTCGGCCATTTTGGCCCCGCCCTACCCCCAGGGGTCATGATTTGAACAAACTTGAATCTACACTACCTGAGCATGCTTCCATATAAATATGATGAATTATGGCTTTGTCATTCTTGAGAAGAAGATTTTTAAAGAATTTTCCTATATATTTCTATGTAAAACTTTGGTCGGCCATTTTGGCCCCGCCCTTACCGGGGGGGTCATGATTTGAACAAACTTGAATCTACACTACATGAGCATGCTCCCATATAAATATGATGAATGATGGCTTTGTCATTCTTGAGAAGAAGATTTTTAAAGAATTTTCCTATATATTTCTATGTAAAACTTTGGTCGGCCATTTTGGCCCCGCCCTACCCCAGGGGTCATGATTTGAACAAACTTGAATCTACACTACCTGAGCATGCTTCCATATAAATATGATGAATTATGGCTTTGTCATTCTTGAGAAGAAGATTTTTAAAGAATTTTCCTATATATTTCTATGTAAAACTTTGGTCGGCCATTTTGGCCCCGCCCTTACCGGGGGGGTCATGATTTGAACAAACTTGAATCTACACTACATGAGCATGCTCCCATATAAATATGATGAATGATGGCTTTGTCATTCTTGAGAAGAAGATTTTTAAAGAATTTTCCTATATATTTCTATGTAAAACTTTGGTCGGCCATTTTGGCCCCGCCCTACCCCCGGGGGTCATGATTTGAACAAACTTGAATCTACACTACCTGAGGATGTTTCCCCATAAGTTTCATCTTTCCTGGCACAGTGGTTCTTGAGAAGAAGATTTTTAAAATATACCACTAAATTTTCATTAATTCCCAATTATCTCCCCTTGAATAAGGGCGTGGCCCTTCATTTGAATAAACTTGAATCCCCTTCACCCAAGGATACTTTGTGGCAAGATTGGTTGAAATTAGCCCAGCGGTTCTTGAGAAGAAGTCGAAAATGTGAAAAGTTTACAGACAGATGGACAGACGGACAGCTAGACAGACAGACAGACGGACGCCGGACAAAATGTGATCAGAAAAGCTCACTTGAGCCTTCGGCTCAGGTGAGCTAAAAAGGAAGAAAGGGGTCAAATTCATAAATTAGGCCAACATAATTAAGTAGCTTTAAACTATCTAAAGTCTCTGAAAATGGTGCTGCTGTCAATTTTTTCTAAATGCATTTTGTTCTTTAATTTAATGTTTTCCAAGTATTTTGTTGATATTTCTAACATTAAAAGGGATGAGGCCCAGAATAAGATACAAGTGACTGACTCAGCAAGCCTAAGACACATCAGGACTGATACTTCTGTGACAGTATGTACAGGATATAATTATTCATATAAATGTTTATTTTTACCCATGGCAAACTGATCTTTATTCACCAAATATCAGTGCTCAAAGTTGTGAGTTATTAACTCAAACATGTGAGTTTAATTTTATTTTATGATTTAAATTAAAAGGTGGTTGCTATTCCTTGACCAAAAATATCAGACAAGACTTTTAAATACGTATTTTTTACATTGTGCTCAAACTTGTAACATCTGATTTCTTACCCCCATTCACAGGGAGGGTAATACTGGTTATAGAATATAAATATTACCCAATCATAGCTGATTTCCTGGCCCCTTTCATGGGGAGGATAATTCTTCCTGTCCCCTTTCATGGGAAAGGTACTCCAATACTGGTTATAAAACAGAAGTATTACCCAGTCATAGCTGATCTCCTGTCCTACTCTAATACTGGTTATAAAACAGAAGTATTACCCAGTCATAGCTGATCTCCTGCCCCCGTTCATAAGGAGGGTAATAGTGTTTATATATAGAATATAAATATTACCCAGTCATAGCTGATCTCCTGTCCCCTTTCATAAGGAGGGTAATAGTGTTTATATATATGGAATATAAATATTACCCAGTCATAGCTGATCTCCTGCCCCCGTTCATAAGGAGGGTAATAGTGTTTATATATGGAATATAAATATTACCCAGTCATAGCTGATCTCCTGCCCCCGTTCATAAGGAGGGTAATACTGGTTATATATATAGAATATAAATATTACCCATTCATAGCTGATCTCCTGCCCCCTTTCATAAGGAGGGTAATACCCGTTATATATATAGAATATAAATATTACCCAATCATAGCTGATCTCCTGCCCCCTTTCATAAGGAGGGTAATACCCGTTATATATATAGAATATAAATATTACCCAATCATAGCTGATCTCCTGCCCCCGTTCATAAGGAGGGTAATAGTGTTTATATATAGAATATAAATATTACCCAGTCATAGCTGATCTCCTGCCCCCTTTCATAAGGAGGGTAATACTGGTTATATATAGAATATAAATATTACCCAATCATAGCTGATCTCCTGCCCCCTTTCATAAGGAGGGTAATACCCGTTATATATTTAGAATATAAATATTACCCAGTCATAGCTGATCTCCTGCCCCCGTTCATAAGGAGGGTAATACCCGTTATATATATAGAATATAAATATTACCCAATCATAGCTGATCTCCTGCCCCCTTTCATAAGGAGGGTAATACCCGTTATATATATAGAATATAAATATTACCCAATCATAGCTGATCTCCTGCCCCCTTTCATAAGGAGGGTAATACTGGTTATATATATGGAATATAAATATTACCCAGTCATAGCTGATCTCCTGCCCCCGTTCATAAGGAGGGTAATACCCGTTATATATATGGAATATAAATATTACCCAGTCATAGCTGATCTCCTGCCCCCGTTCATAAGGAGGGTAATACCCGTTATATATATAGAATATAAATATTACCCAGTCATAGCTGATCTCCTGCCCCCTTTAATAAGGAGGGTAATACCCGTTATATATATAGAATATAAATATTACCCAGTCATAGCTGATCTCCTGCCCCCGTTCATAAGGAGGGTAATACCTGTTATATATATAGAATATAAATATTACCCAGTCATAGCTGATCTCCTGGCCCCGTTCATAAGGAGGGTAATACCCGTTATATATATAGAATATAAATATTACCCAGTCATAGCTGATCTCCTGCCCCCATTCATAAGGAGGGTAATACTGGTTATATATATAAAATATAAATATTACCCAGTCATAGCTCATCTCCTGTCCCCGTTCATAAGGAGGGTAATACTGGTTATATATAGAATATAAATATTACCCAATCATAGCTGATCTCCTGTCCCCGTTCATAAGGAGGGTAATACTGGTCCACAGGCTGGGGGCTCTTGGGGGGTTTCTTCTTGACACATTTCTTCTTCTTCCCCCCTGTTCCAGTTTCTGTCTCAATGTCAAGGTCGTTGTCATCAGTGATGCTATTCTTCTTCTGGATTAAGTTGTATAAAATGTCTGGGTGATTCCATATCTATGAATAGACAAAATATAAAATAAGGATGATTTAAAATCTATAAATAGACAAAATATAAAATACAGGTGATTCTATATAAAATAGATAAATATAAAATAAGGGTGATTTCAAATCTATAAATAGACAAAATATAAAAACACTGATTATGCAGACAGGCATTGTTCATTTTTATCTATGTTATCAATTTTAATCAATTCGATTTATTTGTCAATGTAAGAATTTTCAGTTCATCAATCATCATTTTCATCATCTCGTTCACCCTGACCTTACAACAGATAGCGAAGGCCTTGAGAGGGTTGGTGCTTACCTTACAACAGACAGCGAAGGCCTTGAGTGGGTTGGTGCTTACCTTACAACAGACAGCAAAGGCCTTGAGTGGGTTCTTACCTTACAACAGACAGCGAAAGCCTTGAGCAGGTTGGTGCGGGTGCTTACCTTACAACAGAAAGCGAAGGCTTTGAGTGGGTTCTTACCTTACAACAGACATGGAAGGCCTTGAGTGAGTGCTTACCTTACAACAGACAGTTAAGGCCTTGAGCGGGTTGGTGCTTACCTAACAACAGACAGCGAAGGCCTTGAGTGGGTTGGTGCTTACCTTACAAGAGACAGCAAAGGCCTTGAGTGGGTTCTTACCTTACAACAGACAGTGAAGGCCTTGAGTGGGTTGGTGCTTACCTTACAACAGACAGCGAAGGCCTTGAGTGGGTTCTTACCTTACAACAGACAGCGAAGGCCTTGAGTGGGTTCTTACCTTACAACAGACAGCGAAGGCCTTGAGTGGGTTCTTACCTTACAACAGACAGCGAAGGCCTTGAGTGGGTTGGTGCTTACCTTACAACAGACAGCGAAGGCCTTGAACAGTCAGGGGCATAACTCAAACAAGTTATTTTCAAAAATAACTCAAATGAGTTATTTTACATTATTTCACACACACATTTTTTTTTTGAAAAATAACTTAAATAAGTTATTTTTATATCCTACTCAGGGATTTATCAAGGCTGTTTTTACTACCGGTAAACGGTACCTTTCCCCTCTAGAAAAAGGTGAAAAATTCCCCTTTTTCAGATAGAATAATCTCCAATGAAACAGAAAATATTTAAAACATCGTACTGAGATTTTCCGTTTTTGTCCGATTGAAGTTTAACAGCATATCCTAATTCACCATCCTAGTCATTCAAACGCTTTTAAAGGAGAGAGTAGATTATTCAAGCTTCTATATGATATTGATCGGTAAACATGTGCCATGTGGTGGCCATGATGTCAAAAAATACGTATGCTATTGCAGAGTTTAAAAAAGTGTAGATGAATAAGATGGAGCTTAAATCACGATGATTCGGAAGAATGGAGTAACAACAAATACAATGTTAGTAGTGAAACATGAAAAACAGAATTGATTTGTGAAATATATTGAGAGAAAAAATTAAATAAAGTACTCACCTGGTTAAAATATTTTTTTGTTATTTAATATTTTGTCTCAAAAGTGAAGTTTTTGTGACCTTTGTAAAGTTCTACAAATGACCCTCAGAAGCTCTAAGAATGCAGGATTTTGCTCCATTTATTTAAAAATTTTCCGGGGGGGCATGCCCCCGGACCCCCCTAGAATAGTCGCGCCTCCGGCGCTCAGATCGAGCCTGCGGCTCTCATTTTTCCCCTTTTCATATAAAACGGTAGTTAAACAAAATAGCTAGATAAATCCCTGCTACTTGGACATTGATTTCTTGGAAATTTCGTGTTTCCTGCCAATTTGCATTGCATTTTGGGATTCCATTATGTAACACTAGATGGAGTTCACCGACTCTAATGTAGAATTGGTGAGGAGGTGGAGATAAACAGCATTTTACTCCTTATTTTGTCGTTTTATCCACATGGTGTATATGTCCAATTTTAATCATTAAATAAAAAAAATTCCCCACTTTTCCCAAGACTTTGGACACTTTTTCTGCATTGAGCAAGGTTTATACTTAGTCAAACATTTATTTTCGTCTTGGTGCAAGCAAAATCCTTTGGTGCACAGGGTGTGAAGTTAGGGAAGAATGACACAAAATAACTTAAATAAGTTATTTATTTATTGAAGCTATTTTGGAAAAATAACGTGTTTGAGCTATTAAGGTTAGGAAAAAGTAGGTCATAGCAAAGAGAAGTAACTCATTGAGACAAAAAAATAACTCATTTGAGTTATTTTTGAAAATAACTTGTTTAAGTTATGCCCCTGACTGTTGAATGGGTTCTTACCTTACAACAGACAGCGAAGGCCTTGAGTGGGTTCTTACCTTACAACAGACAGCGAAGGCCTTGAGCGGGTTGGTGCTTACCTTACAACAGACAGCGAAGGCCTTGAGCGGGTTGGTGCTTACCTTGCAACAGAAAGCAAAGGCCTTGAGCGGGTTGGTGCTTACCTTGCAACAGAAAGCAAAGGCCTTGAGTGGGTTGGTGCTTACCTTACAACAGACAGCAAAGGCCTTGAGCGGGTTGGTGTTGGCCCAGGACCCGAGATTCTGAACCTGAAGTGAGTCCATGAACTCCCTGTATAGAGTTCGCTGGATTGGGGACATGCGAACTAAGAGGATCAATTCCTGTTTTGGTGGCAGGGCTTCTTGTAACACAGTGTGGCCTCGCCTGTAAATAAACAGAGAAATGAAATAAGGTCACAATCAGGGATAATGCAGCTGTGAGTCCAAAGTAATTTAAACTAAACAGATTTGATACCATTCTATTGATAACATAACAATTCATTCAACGGAAGTACATGATATTGTGTATTTACTGTAAATATTACATAATACAAGAAGGTATGTCTTGCTATAAAAATCTTTTTAGTGAGCTTTAGAGAGTACAAATGTGATATCTGATTAGCTCTTATCTACTTTTGTATGAACCCCTCCAGTAAGCTGCGTAGCACATGAGCTTGATAACTCATCAGTAATATAGATTACATGTACCTTTGTATGAACCCCTCCAGTAAGCTGTGTAGTACATGAGCTTGATATCTCATCAGTTTAATATCTACCTTTGTATGAATCCCTCCAGTAAGCTGTGTAGCACATGAGCTCGATATCTCATCAGTTTGACATCTGCTGGCGTACTGTCCTGACACTGCCCGTTTGTGATTGGTCGCTCAAACATGTTGCTGAATTCTGTTTTGGTGCCGAGGTAATTGGGACGGACAAAATCTACCATACACCAGTACTCCATCAGATTGTTCTGTAGGGGGTACCCAGTTAATACGACGCGTCGTCTACAACATAATATAATTCTGTTTAAAGTACATGTATGTTAAATTACACATAGTTGCCAACTCACCCGATTTCGTCGGGTCACACCCGATTTTTCAACCCATAACCCGATTATTTTTTATGACCCGGCGGGTCATGCTTTTCACCCGATTTTTGCCGAACAACCCGAAAATCTCCCGATTTCCGGATGTGGCTCGTAAATTAGGTTGCACTTTTAACTTCCAGTTACAACCCAAGCTTAGATCTACGTAAACAATGCCGATGGATTAATTATCAGTGCAGGTGTAAACAATTAACTGGGTGTTGTTTTGACAAATCAGTGTTTGAAGTCAATTAAAATGGCTTCAGATAGAAGTAGAGTAGATCGTTTTCAGGGCCAGCAGGAACAAATTGAACCAAACACATGTCTCTGATTGAACCAAGAAAAAGAGAGGCAATATTTATGTACAACCTTGGAGAAAGAAATTCATTCTAGATAAAACAAAGTGATCGAAGATAGTGTAGGCCTAATTTCACAATTAATACATATTGCAATAGTTAATTAATTAAGAGAGAGGAAAAATAACTTCAAAACTGAAATTGCTAACTTGTTATACTTTCAAATTTAGCAAAAACTGCAAAGGCTTTTTTTTTTTTTAAATTACACTTACTTCAGGTCAATACTGAAATATGAAACCTTCAATTCTCTTTTTTAACATGTAAATTTATTAATCAAATATATATGATTTTTTTGTCATTGCAAATTAAAGCTTTATTTTTTAATAAAAGAATTCTCAATACACAAATACTTTTTATGTATACATATGTGTAAACTTTAATCATGGTAAATATGTCGTGAATGTCGTTATGCGTTATGACCAGATTTTTTACATTCCAAATCTGGTCATGACCAGATTTTTACATGCTGGAGGTTGGCAAGTATGAAATTACAGCTATATTGAATTAGATTGTTCTACAGGGATATCCAGTTAAGACAACACATGTTCTAGAGCAATTCATTTTAAGGCTACATAAAATTGAAATTATGGTTCTCTGGCTTGAGCTCATCTGTTTTGAGGTAGCCGCATTTCTAATTTCATTGAGTTTTAAAATTTAATAAAATGAAAAGTTGGTATTGCGGAGACTAATCTGGGGAAAAAAGTTCAGTCCTCACTTTTTCGTAGTTAAGTACTCGAATATCGCTTCCGGTAGCCATTTGCAAAGAGATTCGGCTACGTCATTTAAAATACAAAGACATTCCCTACGATGTTCACACATTGATAAGCAATGGATAATGCAAACCCATGATCAGACATGGAAGGTATATCTATGAATTTTTATCTTTATTTTAAAGAAAATTCGAAATTTACTACTACTTTATCTTTTACATCTACATGTACTTTATTGCCAATAAAATGATAAATAAAATGCCTCCCTCCCACATCTGTTTTGGAGAAAATTGGCCCGAGAACCAGAGAATTAAAATTATATAGCCTAACCCTAACTATGTACCAGTTTTATGAGGGTTACCTTGTTTTGATGTTTTTGAGGGACTGTGAGATTCCAGCTTGGCTATTTTTAATTCTGTGACCTTCATCACACACAACAAGGTCAGGGCCTGGGTTGATCAGGGCTTCATGGACACCTTTGAATAAAGAAAAAAAATGTTCTTGTCTGTGAAGAATTTCCTTGTATCTGAATTTTTAAATTAAAGTGGCCTTTTCCACTACGAGCTCCTTAATTAAATTTATAGTTAACTTAAGGTGGACTTACCCACTAAGAGTTCCTTATTTTTATCCTCTTCATCCACATCGATTACGACCGGAGATGCCGAGGTCTTCTTTGGTTTTTTGACCCTGACGTCTGCCATGTGACCTTTACGACTAGAAAGTAATCTGTACATCTCGTACCCCATCAATAAAACTCCGCCTTTTGTGTACCACTCCCCTTATAATTAGAAAAATAAAACAAATATGTCAATCAAAATTTGGGTTCTTCTAATATTTATTGCATGTGAAATCAAAACGTATTTTCATTCATGTACAGAGGTTTGTTGTTTGTAAGCGACTAAAAGTTACCATGCTCTTTACTTTCATGTCATTATTAAGTAATCATGATACTGGTTTAATGGGCAGACATTATCGTTTGACCTACCTATGACCTTTTGACCTACCTATGACCTTTGCCCTGGCCCCTGTGGATTTGAAGTTATCGTTGAGGAGGTACACGTTGAACGGTCTGGGGATCACGTGATCAGTTCCTAGATCTCCCACCATATCTTGGGAGGGACACCACATGTTGAACTCGGCCATCCAGTTCTGTAGCGTGTTAATGGGGACAATCAGGAGAACCGTGCGGGCTTTAGCACATCTCAGGAACACGTCCACAAAGGATATCATCTGGATCGTCTTACCCAGACCCATACTGTGAGCCAGAATGCAACCGAAACCAGGACTGTTCCTAAACCGACTCAGAGACTCAATAAGATTGTCGTACAGAAACCGAACACCGCCAATCTACAATCAAAGGGGTAAAAACAGTGTTAAAAAAATCTCAATAAAAAAGATAGTTATACAGGAACCGAACACCACCAATCTACAATCATAGGGGTAGAAACAGTGTTTAAAAATCTCAACAAAAACACTATTTCATTTCCAACGATTTTTTCCAGAAATTATAAAACTATTGAATATGTATACCTCTGAAAGATAAAATGTCTGGATCATCAAACTATATGCGTACAATAAATAAATTGCCCTGTACAATGTAAACAGTATCAGAATTATCAAGAAATTATCTAACCTGGTGTTGTTTGATGTATCTAGCTATCTGTGACATTATCTAACCTGGTGTTTTTTGATGTATCTAGCTATCTGGGGAGCCAGGAATATGTCTGGTTCGTCGGACGGATGCCCGATGTTGACCAACACTCGGCCGAAGTCGTCGTGGACATTGAGGGCGTCGTTGATGTGACTGCCGGCGTTGTTCGGATCCTCGGGGTCGACCTCGTTGTCCTCGTCCTTCGTCATCAGAATATCCTCCTCATCACTACTCAGTTCTATCACGTCACTGTCTGTATTAAATAAATTAATGTAAAGCATCAGTCACATCACCTCACTGTCTGTATTAAATAAATAAATGTAAAGCATCAGTTCTATCACGTCACTGTCTGTATAACACACAAAAGATATAAGTTAGTAAAGCATTTATTCAATTCTCATTTCAAGGATATCACTGTCTGTTTGGTTTTTTGCGTGAGAACTGTCCTGGTTGCTGGGAGAACAACTGGTAAACACCCAGACTTATTTTACCTGGTTTGTAAACACCCAGATTTATTTTACCTGGTTTGTAAACACCCAGACTTATTTTACCTGGTTTGTAAACACCCAGACTTATTTTACCTGGTTTGTAAACACCCAGACTTATTTTACCTGGTTTGTAAACACCCAGACTTATTTTACCTGGTTTGTAAACACCCAGACTTATTTTACCTGGTTTGTAAACACCCAGACTTATTTTACCTGGTTTGTAAACACCCAGACTTATTTTACCTGGTTTGTAAACACCCAGACTTATTTTACCTGGTTTTGCATTTAGAGGGCTATGTTATCGGGTTATTGAGAGTGAATAAAAATTTCATCTTATTAGAAGTAAGCTGAATGTAAAAACAATTTATTTTGCTTGCTATCACATGTACTTTGAAAAAATATATGTACCATCATGGAGATGCTATGGAATTGTAGCCCTCTCCAGAAAACTTCAGATTAACAAAATCCTACTAAATTTTACTTAAATGCTATACATAAGATTTATATGATGTGGACGAAAAACAGAAAAAATAGCAGTAAATTGATACCTTTGGATTTCCTTCTTGATCGCCCCTCATCACTGCTGTCTAGATAAATAACATCACTGCTCTTATCTTCATCATCCACTGAAATATAATACAGATAAATAACATCACTGCTCTTATCTTCATCATCCACTGAAATATAATACAGATAAATAACATCATCCACTGAAATACAACACAGATAAATAACATCACTGCTCTTATCTTCATCATCCACTAAAATATAATACAGATAAATAACATCATCCACTGAAATACAACACAGATAAATAACATCACTGCTCTTATCTTCATCATCCACTAAAATATAATACAGATAAATAACATCATCCACTGAAATACAACACAGATAAATAACATCACTGCTCTTATCTTCATCATCCACTGAAATACAACACAGATAAATAACATCATCCACTGAAATACAACACAGATAAATAACATCACTGCTCTTATCTTCATCATCCACTAAAATATAATACAGATAAATAACATCACTGCTCTTATCTTCACCATCCACTGAAATATAATACAGATAAATAACATCATCCACTGAAATATAATACAGATAAATAACATCACTGCTCTTATCTTCACCATCCACTGAAATATAATACAGATAAATAACATCACTGCTCTTATCTTCACCATCCACTGAAATATAATACAGATAAATAACATCACTGCTCTTATCTTCATCATCCACTGAAATACTGTAAACCAACTATTATTCGCGACGACTTTATTTCGCGATTTACTAGGCATAAATTGGTTCGCGACGATTTATTTTCGCGATCATACCTTTTTGGTTTTATTTTAATAGACACATACACTTAAATGACCGGTTCGTGGCGAGAAATATTCGCGATGACGAGGCTCTCGCGAACTTCGCGAAAATTTCTCGCACGCGAATAAAAGTTGGTTTACAGTATAATACAGATAAATAACACCATCCACTGAAATACAACACAGATAAATAACATCTACTAGAGAAAACCATGTTTACTGAATACACTATATAGAATATGCCGAATCTGGCAGATCACAGGATACAAATTTCCCTGAGTACTGGAAGCAGCTCTACGTGTTTTACTGCCCGCAGACATTCCATCTCTTTCTTTCCTAAACCTTCTAAACACTTACTCTGAAGCAGGGACTTGAGTTGTGAGTCGTTTTCTTCCATCTCTTTCTTTCGTTGCTCCTCCAGGGCTTTCTGTACCTCTAGAATCCTCTGACGACGCATGGCTTCTTCCTGCTGGGCGTCCAAGGTCTCCTTGTCAAGGTCATTCTCTTTAAGGATGTCCCTGTAACCATGGTTACATTAGTAAGACATTTATTAATGCTGAGGAAATCTGTTTCTCCCAATAATACTGTCATTTATCATGTTAACAGATATCAAAGTTTACACAAGTTGCTTGAACATGTTGAAACCCAGGATGAAACCACAAAATAACTTAAGCATAATGCTGAACTTAAACATAATTATGATAGAGCCGTAATTTGAATTTCTTAATAAAACAATTCATTTTAGAACTTTAGGCAGGATAAATTATATGTTCTATGATCGATTAGATAATTTATACAATTGCTAATAATAAAAGCCCAGTCCTGTGTTATTGGTAGGAATAATAACATTGAATTAAGTTTAGTGACAGATATAATATGTCCACTCCAATACTGTAAACCAACTTTTATTTGTGTGCGAGAAAATTTTCGCGATGTTTGCGAGAGCCCTGTCATCGCGAATATTTCTTGCCGCGAAGCGGTCCTTACAGTCTATAAAATTTGCCTATTAACAACAGATCCAAAAAAGGCTTGATCGCGAAAATTAATCGTCGCGAACTAGTTTATCCCCGGTAAATCGCGAAATAAAGTCGTCGCGAATAAAAGTTGGTTTACAGTATATCACACAGCTTCATTGCAGTTAGGGAGGGGGGAGGGGGTTACAAAAAAGAGAATTATAATGTGACCAGACTATCTAAACAAGAACCAAACTCTAATTTAATTTTATGCTACCATGGCTACACACCTAATATTTCTCCGTAATGTGCTGGGCTTCATTTTCTTGGATTTTTTCCTCTTGCCCTTTTCCCCAGTGGCTCGCTTTCGTTTGCGTTTTTTGGTTGCCGGTTCTGCTTTCGTTACATCTGTCTGTTTCTGGTCGGAGAGTTCAGTCCTTGTCTCCTCTTCCTTTGTTTCCTCTATTTCCTCCTTGACCTCTGACCTTTCATCTGCCTCTGCAGGACATGGACCTGAGAGAAAACACAACAAAGGATTCCTATGTTATCTGGTTATAATGACCTGTATAAACCACTCAAAATAATGTAAACGAGTATAATTTGAAAAATAAGTGCAATCTTCTTCATCCTATATTGAGCCTAATTAAAAATTTGCATATTTTCACTCATGTATTAGAATTGAACGTAAGTTAGTGGACAAAAGGCTGTGATTTACATTAAATTTCGGATGTTAACAGTAAAATGTCAACAGCTTAGTTGTCCTGCTTGTCATTGTGTGAGAGGAGACTTACTTTTGTCCTCTTCCTCTTCTATCTCCTCTTCCTCCTCATCGCTCTGTTCACTGCTGGCCGAGTCTTCCTCATCTAAACAACGGAATCATTTTAAAGTTTACTGTGTAAATAATTAATAAAGCCCAGCTAATTAAATCAAATTAATATTATTATTAATATCTTCATCATTTTAAAATTAACTAATACAGATTTCAATTAAGAATTCATTGTAACACTGATTACTCCCCAGTGTTATTCCTATATTCAGTGATATTCATAATTCTGTGTAGCTTTAACTTTGGCATCACTATGATCACTTTTAACAACATTGATCTTGTTGAAATTGTGAAGCAGTTTTTAAATATGCATACCACACCTGCCATGATCACTGTAGATTCCTAATTATAGGCGAGGAATTAATTTCCGCGTAATTTCACGAGAAGCATCACTCAAAAAATTATTACTCACTTTTATTTTTATGGTGCACTGCTGAAATCTATGTAAATTTTAAATCCGTTGATCAACCGTCCATTCACAATTTATTATTCTTGCGATTTGACGTTTAATAAGAGCCAGTTCGGGATGAAAAGTACTTGCGAAAAATTAGTAATCTACAGCATACATAATTTTTGTAGACAACATTTTACCTGTGATTTTGTTTTGTTGTTGATTTCCTATTACTGTTAAATAGCATCCAACTCTTATTACTACAATGTATCATCATTTCAACACTAACCTTCATCTTCGTTGTCATCGATGTCTTCATCTTCTTCATCTTCATTCTCATCTTCTTCTTCATCATCATCCCACATCATCTGATCCATGGCTAACTTTTCCCCCCGGACTCTCTCTGTCATTCTGTCTGTATCTGTCTCACTTTGTGTGTTCTCTCCCGTTACGTAAGACTCCAATGAATTTTCTTCCATTTATTAATGAAAAATTAAGGGGGTCTCATTCTGGAAAACTTTAATTGAGAAGATATTATGTAATACATGCAGGAACTCAGATCATTCTAGTAAATAACCTCTCAGTGAACTATAACTGCTCAGTAATCACACTCCCTCCTGCTTAACTTATTTTGTAATATTTTGGTGACAGTAATTTTCTATATGGTTATGTAAGGTCACATGACAATCACACAGCTGTGTGGGTTGACCCATGACCCCCAGACAATAAATATTACCATGCACTTTACATTTCATGAATATTTAACAACAAATAAACAAACTGAAAGTTATATCTTATTTAAAAAACAGAGTAATAAGAGTTGCTCAAAATCGTATTTAAGTCAAATTACGGATTCACCGACTGAGAAATATGCATTGTGCAATGCTTTTTAAATTTCGCCAAAAACATTTAAAACAACCATGCTACTTAAACATGTTAACTAATATATATTCAATATGAAAATAGAAAAGTTAACTGATTGAATTTCTTTCAAGTATCTGACTTTAAAAAAAAAACCATTCCGGAATTTCTGTAATTATAATATTACTTTAGACTGGATTTATAAACAAAGAGAGAATATTTTGGAATGAACCCCGGCGAGAAGGTGACGTTTGTACGTGTTATACCCTTTACAGATACCTCCAAACAGTAAACAGTTTTATCCTGTAAAGCTCCAATTTAGTCCCCGGTCCCTGATTTATTCTTCATCAGAACCACAGGGATTTTCCCGAATTCAAGCGAACGCGAAAGGTTATCTTTTACACTTCCGGTACAAAATTAGGGTATTTCTAGAACCCAGTGGGCCGTGATCAATCTAGTGTATTATAAAACGAGTGAAAAGTGAGAGCCGGGTTAGATATACAGTACGTATTTGGTTTCTTTTCTTCTGTTAAATATGACTATATCAAAGCTAGCAGGCCAATATTATAAAGCAATCAATAAATAAAGGACAAAATTATATAAAATATGAAAATGAATAAAAAATAAAACAGAAATAGTTTAAATATTAAATATTGTACGAAGCATTTTGAAGACTACAAGATACGCATTAAGTAATACAAACAATAGTTCTTGAAGTAAGCCAAATTGAGAAAAGAAAAAAAGACAAGAAAGAAATCAACGGAAAAGAACACAGTCATATCTTTGTTATAATAAATAAATAAATAAATAAAAATAAATAAATAAATTAATTAATTAATAAATTAATAAAATAAAATAAATGAATAAATAAATTTGAAAAAAAGAATCGAGCAAAGGGCCAAATGCCCCAAAATAATGTGCCAAGAAAATCCCCTAATTTAAAATTCCCTCTCCCCGTGTAACTGTTCCACGGGCCTCAGTACTAAAGGAGAAACTTCAAAGTACTGTACAGCAGCATATCCGAGACTCGGTGGAAATAGGATGTGAATATTTAGAATCTACAAGAAAATTTAAGGAAATTTAAAATAAATAAAACTAGCTAAAATCAAGAACCTTTCAAGACAGTACACAATCGGTACCATTGAAGTCTATGTTTCGACATTATAGACAGCTGCTTTGAAAATGGTGTTAATTTTTTTTTCAGATGCAACGATATGTAGTATATACAGGAAGTAATAAAATGTAGTAGCTATTTATGGGACTCCAGCATTGTTGATAATTGTACAAATAAAATAATTGAGCAAAATATGGTTGATATTTATAGACAAAATATTTTTTTCATTTGTAACTTCTTCTTCTAAAGGACAATTACACCAGTACGTTGTAAATGATTTTGTATTACAAAGATACTTAACAAAACCTATTGATAGATGTAAGAGAATGCGCACTAAGATTAGATTATCAAACCACCAATTAAAAAATGAAACTGGTCTACTTACAGATATGATAATACACTTAGATCTCATAGAATTTATTTGTACACTCTGCTCCTCTAATGATATTGAATATTAATTTCATATCATATCAAAATGCATGTCCATTTTATGAAAATCTGAGAAGTATGTACATTAAGAAGTATATATTATTATATCAAACCAAGTGTTTAAAGTTGTAAGTTTAACTGAGCAGTCAAAATGTAAAAGAGTTACCTAATTTGGGAAAATTTTTAAATACAACAGATTGATTTACGAGGGGTTATCAAAAAGTTCATGGATTGAGACTATAAAATTAGTACTATGTAATCTAGCTGTGCTTTCAAAATTTATAAAGAACATAAAACAACAAAAAATAAAGAAATGTTGAAAATTTTAGCCTGATATGTTCATTATTTGCCAAATAATTATAAAATGAAAACGACATTATATGATCACCCGGCGCTGTCGTCGTTTATTTTCATGACGTCCGAGAACGTCATTGTTTTTTAAACGTCCGCTCGAAAATAATATTCCAAATGGATTAATACATTGGGAGAGATCTTCGCTTGATTATGCCGGCATATTTTGCTTTTTGGGAGTTCAATATCTACAACACACGATCAACGTCATTTTTTGACTTTATTGTTTTTTCACACCTTGACTGCAAATCGCAAAAAAGTCGTGTTCGAGGTTGCGCCGCCTGGACATACCATTGCTTACAAAAATATTATCAACTAGAGCCGAGCTCGTTGCAAAGCAACGAGTAGGTCTTCCGTCCGGTTTTGACCAGAAGTGCCGGAAGTGATGTGAACAAAAGAAAGCAATGAGCTAAGTAGTCTCTAGTGACTTTATAATTTAAATTTTGCATTAAAGCCTTCAAAATAAGCTATTTTTGGCTACTTCCGGTTTGACCGGAAGTGACGTCGACGGACGGAAAGTTAAGATTTAAGCTTCCAGTGACATATGTTGCCAATAAACCTGTCAAGAACAGCAAAAATATGCAATTTTTGACTACTTCCGGTTTGACCGGAAGTGACGTCGCCGGACGTATTTTGATGACACCATTAGATAACGCTTGACATTTTGAACAACTTTGCTTCTTTGACGTTACAAATTCTCAATACTTTTTGAGATATAAAGGAAAAACTTTTGGCCCCTTTTGGTCCTTTATTATAGGGGCCAGCCCCTTATTGTTGATATCTTTCGAAAGATCGTGACATTCTCTACAACTTTTGTTATATATGTCTTTACAAATTGTTAACATGTAAAAAGATATTGCAGAAAAGGTATGAAAATTTCTGAGTCCCTGGTAGAACTTTTTTCGAGCCATAGCGAGCGCCGACATGCGGCACTTCCGGAGAAAGAGAATGGTGTGTGACAAAAGAGCACACCTTGCTCTATCATCGCTGAAAATCTTATGTTTCTGTCTTAAGGCATTTTCGAGAAAAATGATGGACAATGAGACCCCCTGAAAATCCCTAAATCGCGGAAATCTCAAAACCGGAAGTGACGTCATCAAAACAAAAAAATTACTTTCAGCTTTGTTTGATGTTCTATCAGTCCTGAAAGTTTCATGAAAATCTATCCAGCCGTTTTCGAGAAATCGCGTGCACAAAATCGGTAAGAAAAAAAACCAATAATAATAATAATAAAAATAGTGGAAAAGAAACCTAAGAATAACAAGAAGGTCTTCCGCTGAAGACGGAAGACCTTAATTATTAAAAAATAAAATTCATGACTTATGGTTTATTCTTTAGATAGAAAAGATGATGCTAACTAGATATCTTGAAATTCATTGATGATTGATGTGCCTAAAGCGGTTTAAATTTTATGACGCTAGTCCACGAACGTTTTGATAACCCCTCGTATAGATAAAAAAAATCTCGCGCATTATCTATATACAGTACAATTTTAAAAATATGCTTGTTCTCGTTCTAATTTTTTCTTGTGAGATATGACGACAGTGCCACATAGATGTATAAATGGCAAAAAAAGTTCATCAACAAGTCGCCAGTGTGTTTAGAACTATGTTGGGAAAAACTTTGCATGAAATAAACGTAAAATGTGAAATATTTTGTTATAAAAATTACATGTACCCACCCTTAAAAATGAAGTCATATGGTTCTCTACATGTATGTTGTTTTTGTCTTTATTCATTTAGAGATATACGAGTCATGCGTCTTGGATGTTTAAATGTCGATTTACCTAGGGAATACTCGCGAGTTTTGATCAGTACATCTTTACTTACTGTGAGGTGTCATTGGTCATTTGAATTTTTTTTGGTTTAAATACACAAAGTATTCAAAGGCCGACATTGATAAAGATGTATGATAATCTAATTGACTGCAGTATCTATTCCATTTTTGGAGATGAAGTCCCCTAATCATCAATCAGAATTTCTCTCAACCTGGTCTTTATATCAGTAAATTTGAAAACGAAAGACACCACGGGGTCTAATTCATTTGTTTCATATTCGGATGTTTTGGTTTCTAAACAACAGAACCATATGATATACTTGACGACTTATAGGTGATTCTATTTATAAGAACATGCTCTACGTTTGATCAATTTTATTTTAAAACGAGACAAGCTGTAAATCAATAAGTTGACGAAACAAAGACATCAAGAGCTAGTCCTGTTTAAAGTTTCATTCCACAAGTTCTACTATCGACCTAGAACTTACGAAAAATGGCCTTTAATTCTTGTTTCATCAACTTGTCTCTTTTTGAGAATAGTTCATACTTAGAACATGCTCTTGCGTAATGATACAACTGAGAGATATGCAGCTGAACATATGGAGATAACAGTATTCAAAATCAAAGGCCCATTAAACAATACAAAATAGCAGCAGAGCAAACATGTAAACCTTAAAAATATCAGAGGTGGGATAAGGTGCCATGGAGGAGTGAGTATCCCCTGCCGACTGGTCACACCCGCCGTGTGCTCTTTGTCATAATCGGGAAATAACGGAAAAAATCAATCGCCATGGCATTCAGTGTATAAATAATAATCTAACAATTAGTATGAAAAACGTCAGTCAGCATTTAACTCAATGATAATTGTATTTACTGACAAGGTCATTTTATCGACCATAGATCTTACGAAGCGATGACTTTTAACGAGACTGCTGAAAGTCTTGTTTCATCAAGTTATTTGGCAATAATTTACCTCGTTTCAGAAATTGTTCGTACGTAAAGCATGTTCTTGCGTATAGAATTAACTAAGAAATAAGTCTATAAACGTAAAACATGCTCTTGCATATCGAATCAACTGTATGCAGATGATGAAGATTTATTGTTTCACAAGTAAGGAAAGCCTAAGGAAAGTTGGCGATTGAAAAGTTAAAGTCATCTCGTTTGTCATGGAGCTTGGTTGTTAGATCATCACTAACGTCTTTTAAAGTAAAATATTATAATATAAAACAGATGTGTCAGACTCTGTGGTATCTTTTACTCAGTATTTCAAGGTCACCGGGAAATATCGCATCTGCAAAAAAATGGAAATAACCATTCAGAATGTTTTCTTATCAAATGAAGGTTATGAAGATATAACGAACAGTATTCAATATCAAAGTCCATAAAACAATACAAAATAGGAACATCTAGCAAACACGGACCTCCGAAACATCAGAGGTGGGATCAGGTACCATGGAGGAGTGAGTATCCCCTGCTGACCGGTCACACACGCCGTGTGCTCGTTGTCATGATCTGGAAATAACGGAAAAATCCGTCGTCAATTCAGTGTAAAAATAATGCAATAACAATTAGTATGGAAAACGTCAGCCAGCATTTGATTTAATGATAAATTATATTTGCTGACAAGGTCATGGTTTTATTATCAAAATAATTTCGTAAATGACGAATGTGAGGTAAGTCAATTTACTAGTTCTATTTTGTTGAGAAAAAAAAACTGTCAATGATGTCAAAAAACCTGGAAATTAACCGCGAGGAGTGAAGTATATAAAGTTGTAAAGAGCCAGAGCCACTTTGGGCCTTATTCAAAGAGGCCGGGTGATAGTTAATTAAGAACCCTCTCTACACTGCACACTAAAGAGTTCTGATTCTAAGGTATTTTTCTGCAGTTAGAGTGATCTTCCCCTAGATCTAAATTCTAAAAATATATTACTCAATTTTTAATTAATTCAACTATTCTTAACATTATAAAAGGCCAAGATAAATTAACTGAACATGTTATTTACATGTATTTTCTCTACTGAAATAATTAACAGTGATTTCTTTTCAGTGATACTGTAATGTCTTTGAACTTTTTTCCCGGGGGTAAATGCCACGCACCATACAGTGAAAATTAGATAAATAAGCTAAATATTAACTCCTTTATACGGTATATTTTTCTCAATGTCTTAAAAAATATTTGCACTTGTGTAGAGAGGGTCCTTAATTGATATAAGTACAGGGCCATTTTATGCATAAGATGGCTCTTGCTCTTTTTATGCTGTTAATTTTGCTAAAATTTTGTGAAAATGATTCATATAGAAAATGGAAATTGTAATTTTTCAATATACACATGTATTTCGATGTTAGTGATCGATATTTGTATTTGTTACGCAACTTAAAGATTCATTTGCTATCTTTCTCATCATCCGTTTGTACTACATCATATCAAATGGTGAAGTGTTAATAATTTGTATATTTTTCTGACACATCTGGAAAAGACTTTTTAACTGAAGCAGTTTAAAAGAAGTAATGGTAGGCTTTTAAAAAACGATTTACATCGCAATCTACGGGTAAACTAGATTCTAATTCTGGAAATAATAAGCATGAATATCAGATATGCAATAGGCCAGCATGAGGACAGAGAGTGACACAACAACACCAGCCCACTGTATGAAGAACTAGAGGCTGCTTAATTCTTCACTTGAGTCCTTTAGCGCAGAATACCTTAAGCAATACCTTTTTAGCATTTCATTAATTATAAGTCTTCATTAATTCCTAGCTCCTCTCATTCTCCCTTTAAACCTAGCGGGCAGAAACAATGGTTTTTAATGGATGACGGGAGGAGACAGAGTACCAAAGTTGGTAAGTAGAGAGATCTTTCTTGGTCTCTGCATGATTCTGATTATATTAATGATCAATCAAAAAATAATACTAGAAAATTTCGTTTTTTGGAAATAGTTGAAACAAAATCGAATTAAACGTTTTCAAATTTTTCCCTCATATTTTACAGTTTTATTTTAAATAAAACCTGCTGAATCGCTGTAATTATCATTCGCATCCCCACCTCAACATTTCTCAGCACACCATCAACTATAGCTGAAAATATTTTATCCCGACTTATTTTATTAACCTTTTGTACTAGCAGTAATAACTTTTGAATAAACACCTATAAGAGATTTGTATTTTCCATGAACACTTCCTATTTTAGCCGTAATTGCAATAAATGATTAGTCAGTCTTAGATCTTTGATACTAGTATTTGCAACAGCTTGAAGTACAACACGTTTATATTCAATTGTTAAAACAAGATTTTGCCTTCAAAAACCTACGCTTCATTGAGAAAAAAATGATAAGTGATGTAGCTTTCTCATTTTTGACCATATAAATTTGTTTAATTTTTTGGTAGAAGTAAATTTTCACTCCATTAAAAAGAAAATTATCAATCTTTATTATCTGGAATCACATAGAATTTATTTTTAGTTTACTTAGTAGAAAAGTTGTATAATCGTGCAATAATGATTCCCGATTTTTTTTTACGTACAAGCTTTCTTACCAATAGGCCTAAGCCACTCTTCACTTCGATCTGGAATCAAATGTTTCAACACTTCTGTTGACAGCAAGTTTTTTTCTGAGCATGTGATACGTTGAATCAAGAATCGGGAGTAAGAATTGGTCACAAATATCTTTCTCTGTTTGATTGTGTTTATTTCAAACTTACAGTCATCGAATTCATTCCTCGTACGACGCTAAATATTGTCAAGCGTTTCAGACGAGATGATTTACCAGGTAGCAACCTGCAAACATCAATGATCACTCGGACTACTGTTTTCGAGGTAGTTTGATCGCCATATTGTCCTCTAAGCATTAATCATTGTTTGATATAATTATTTTTCATGTTCTTGGTAGAGGTCGTCAAAAGTGTCTCGTAATATTAGTGGTAATTGAACAAAGGACCGTGATATAAAATTTCTGTTCCTTATTATAATATACCCAAAGATTTATGAAAAGCATTGTTTGATTAATTTAAAGATGTAAATTACAATTTATTTCCTTTTCTTCTCTGCAAACGAATTCGAATTAAGAAGTTTGTATGTTTTGTGAAATAAGAGCTTTCGCCATTTTGAGCTAATTTAAACAATTTCAAATTCATGCGACTAAATTTTCCGAATAAAAGTGATAATACTAGTGTTCTTTTATTATTTTTATGGTTGCATTAGGCTCATTAAGTTATTCACACATTTTTCTACTATTTGAACGACATTAAGAAATTATTAGAAAAATGAATATACGCCATTTTGATTGCCATTATCTAATTTTCTGCCATTTTCACAAAAACCAACACAATTAACAACTTGTAGTAAAAAACTATGGTGAACCAAACAGTAATTCTTTACGGTCAGAAGTTATTTTTAACCTTCTTTTTTAAAAATTCAGAACCAGACTTACATTTAGTTATCAGATGACATCAAATGTATATTTTTTCCCATTTCATCTTGCAAATAATAAAAAAAATAACGATACAAGTATTGAATTTTGAAAGTGTACAAATACTTTAAGATTATAATGAATTCAACTTCCTAGAATTTTATTTCATCTCGCCAATTGCTTCAAAAACTGAAAGCGCGTTTTCACAGGTAAGTGTTAAGACTGGAAAAATAAACATTGTAATGGACAAGCAAATCATTTTTAAACTTTTAGAAATGTGTTCCTAATTAAATCTTTTTTCAAGAATAAAGTATAACATTCCCAATTTTTTACTGAGCGGTCATAAAAAAATAATGTTGAGCAGGGGGTGAAATATTGGACCCACTGATGACATGTTGGACTGCTTTAGTCACAAAATGGGCGGGATCAGCTAAACCTCGTTTGCGTTCGTTGCCGTTCGACAGTGATGGAATTTACTTCTGATCTGGCAAGGTTTTACATTCCAAACAGACACAGTTAAAAGATAATGTAAGTAATAAAGTAATAACAATAGTAAGGTAGATTTGAATTGCACAGGTAACATTATGCAATTATTAACTGTGATCTCCTGCAACATGCGTTTTGTTGGGTTTTCGAATAAAGATGCTTGCATCCAGCCTAATAGCCCGAGGCAACCACTTTGATTCTTGGGTTCGACAAAACGCAGGTTGCCCTGTTTTCCAGTCAATAAATATAAACTATTAACTATTACCTGTGCGGTTCAAACCTAACTAACTATTGTGCGGGTTTCTTGGTTGAAATCAAGCTGTCAGTTTAACAAACATTTTCTCTTTGGTGGCATATTTCTGCAAATAATTTTTCTATAGATTGCCCGAGTCACCCGTGTAAACCTTTTATTTGTACCGCAACAGTGGTAGACCTACCAATACACGATGTTATCCAAAAGTGCTAAAAAACCTACACTATTTAAAAATCTATAACCCGATTCCTGATGTTTTTAGTATATTAGTTAACTAGGAATCCAACTAACTATTTTCACCGTTACTTTTATGACGACTGATTCAGCATAGAAATAACATGAGATGTGATTGATACCAAGTAGGGTCTTTCATACATATCTATACATGTATATAAAGTATAATACACTCAAAATCACCATCTTTTATTATTAGCAATTTTTGAAAATAATAATAACTTAAAAAAACCAGCAAGTACTACTACTACTTTAATTTTCTTTTGGTTCAATGAATTTTACATTGTCAATAGCCACAGCACCTGGGCCCGTCTTTCCAAATGTAGCAGCGAGAGAATACTGTAGGAAACAAAAATAACAATGGAGTAATCAAATGACAACATTCACAGTATTGGAGTTTTATGAAGAGACTTACTTTTACAATCGACGACTGACTTTTACAATTTAAACAGAGACAAACTCCAATCACTAAAATGTAAAAGTCAGCTGTCAAATGTAAAAGTAAGTCTCTTCATAAAACCCCATTAATGAAACATATGGGGATAAAGAAGAAATTCAATATTAAAAGTCTATTAAGCAAACCAGGAACAGAGCAAACACAGAATCTGAAACATCAGAGGTCTATAGGAGAAGTATATTCAACGAAATGAAGAATTAGGAGAACAAACACAGACCCCTAAAACATTAGAGGTGGGATCAGGTGCCATGGACGATGAGCATCCCCTGCTGACCTGTAACATCCAACGTGTGCTCGTAGTATCGGGGGGGGGGGGGGGATAACGGGGAAATCTTGCCGAATTTTCTTGTCAATACTAACACGTTACTAGGTTGAAAGATAAACAATACTTTATTATTCTATCCTTTGACATGGTTTCTTTATGCAATTTTGTCATTTTGCGGTGCTGTATTTCAACAAAACTAAGACAAGTATGGAAAATGTGCAAAGTACTAAGAAAAATACTTATATGTAAGAAGTCAATTTGAGCATTTCAACTAAATAGTATAAAAGAAATAAATAATAAATATTAATAATACCGGTATTAATTAATAATATATTAATTAATAAATTTGTAAATACCTATGGTAGAATCATACAAATGAAGGATATGGAGATAACGAACAGTATTCAATCTCAAAGTCCATTAAATAATATACAAAACAAGATCAGAGCAAGCACGGACCTCCGAAACATCAGAGGTGGGATCAGGTGCCATGGAGGAGTGACAATTTAAAGAGCAAGAGCCACTTTGGGCCCTATTTGGCCCTGAGAATTTCTGAAAAATCAAAACTGCTCAGTATAGGTTGCAAATGCAGAATTTATCAGTTGGAGTGCTGTTGACCACGTTTCTTTTAATCGTGACGTAATTTCACATCTAGTCAATGCATTATAACGTCATAGAATGTGTAATTTTCCCCATATCCTGTAAATTCCTTTGAAAATGACCTAAAGTTGAAGCATTTTTTCAATATTTCATATAGAGCACAAGCTCTGATTCAAAATAGGCAAATACGTAATGAAAGCGCTGTTTCTGAAGATCAGAAAACATGTTTTATTTTTTAAATCGTGGGCTGTGCTCATATTTTAATTCTTTTGCTTAAGGTAGTCAAATACGCATGTTTTCTGCAAATTTCAAGAACATTAGTAATTTCTCAAAGCCTGTTTTCCAATTCTCAAAAAGAAATTTTATTACAGAAAATAAAAGCACCAAGTCTCTACTCTATTTTAATATATAAAATGGGAACGAGGGTTAATTAGTTAATGAATTGATATAAGTACAGGACCATTTTATGCATAGATGGCTCTTGCTCTTTATAAAAATTTGATTTTCCTTTTGCAAAAATGAAGTTTTAAAACTTAAAATAATGAATTTAAATAATATGCACCTTTAACATAAAATGGGATATGTCTTGTACGGAAGGTCGTTAATTTTAAGTTTTATTGCACGAAAAATGTGACCTTAATTTGTCCAAAAAACCATGTGAGTTTAAAAAATGCGTTGCGCTGCATACTGTAGATTCCTTATTTTTTGCGAGTACTTATTATCGCAAATGGGCTCTTAAACGGAAAGTCGCGAGAATAATAATTCTCAAATTTACAGTAAATCAAGAGATTTTACATAGATTTGAGCATCATAAAAATTATGGCGAAAAATCTTAGCTGCAGAACTGTAGCTCTCCGAAAAAAATATTTTTAAAAAGTGCGCTGATTTTCGATTTATTTCTCCCTGCTTTAAAAAATTTCATTTTAAAATATTACTAACTGTGTGTTCTTAACATATTCTTTCACTGTTTCTACAACAAAACATTCCTTATAAAAAAAAGTAATTGTTTTAATAGCCCTCCTGGCCCTGAAATTGAGATCATCGAAAATTTCTATTTAAACTGCCATTTTGGTTCGCAAGATAATTCGGTTCAACGCGCGTCGTACAGATGTAAACTACGAAAGTAATAGATAGAGGAGTAAGGAATTTATTGAAATCTACCTTATTTTTGCAATTTAGGTAAGAATTTGGAAGAATTAATCAAGAAACAGTGCACTATTTTGTGCGCAATCATATAAATATACAGATTTTTTTCAATGGGTGCCACTGTTGCTCTGTGGTCTATCAATACATATTTCTTCGGAGAGCTACAATTCTGCAGCTAATTTCGCGTGTGTTGCTTCTTGCAAATTTACGCGATAATTGATTCCACGCGTATATTTAGGAGTTTACAGTATAGGACTCGAGGCGGATGCAACAGGTCAACAGGGGTGCGCTTACGCATGATTTAAACTTGTTTCATTTCATGTGCAATATACAATGGGGTTGGGCACAAGTTCTTAAACCTAAATCACCCTCTCCCTACATGAAATATCACAAAAGCCTGAATTAGACGTGTTAAAAGTTTTTACAAAATAAATTAACTCACAAAATAAAAATATATACTACTACGTTATCGTTTATACAAATTATGAAAATAAAAACAATCAATTTAATCCACCAGAATGCTGAATATAAGAATGTAAAATAGCAAGTGAGTGATGCATCCCCCCAGAGTAAAGTATGAATGTCAACAATGCGAACTTTATTAAATCTCAAGAAGTTATCGAAGAACTCTTTCGTGGCCTCGTTATAGAAAAGACATGAGAAAAAAATATTTGACGTGTATCTTCTACCTTACTACAAGAGCATAGTAGATTATACATGTATATTGTTTCACCTATAAAGATCAACATTTAGCACGCAATTGTGCCCAAGTCTAGTATGCAGTATATTGTTGCGTCTTTTTCCGAAATTGAACTTAGGCGTAGCTATTGTTATTTTTGTTGGCTTTTACTTTTAAAAGCAGACAAAGAGCTGGTGTCTAACAATAAAGAATTTCGCCATTTACTGCAGTTGGTACAAATGATGATTTATAGATTTGCGACCTACATACAGGTAATATACTATAATTTTAAGAGGTTTTGCATGTTGTTAATCGGAAGCGTCTCATCTCATGTCAAGTTTAATCTTAGATAAGTAATCTGTGCATGGACCTGAATTATTGTGAATTTTATACATGATTTTTAATCTTTGGGTCATTCGTCTATCGCTGAGCGGTTCCCAGCCTGTTTCTAAATTCAAAGAATCTCTAGAAGCAATTAAAGTTAAACCAGTAATAATCCGAGCTGAGTGTAGTTGCAATAGCTCTATTTTTTTCAGAAATGCTAAGTCCTCCAGGACACCTGATCCTTACTCTGGTCTTTTCAGGTATCCATGTGTTTGCACTGTTCATAGTTCTTTTATAGAATGAAATTAATTAGTTATCATTATATTTTACAATAGTTATAAAATCTGGTACAGAGGGTAAGAATTTTAATCCATTAAAATGATACATACCTCCATGTTTTGTATAGCTGGTAAGTCGAAGCTATAAGACTTCCACTTTCCATTGGTAGTTATTAATCCACTTTTAGGGATGTGGCCTATAACAAGGTTGAGGCCTCCACTCCCACTTGTAACACAATCAAAGTCAATGCGAAGGGATTTCACCTGAACTTGAAAAAGAGAAAGATGCATGTTTTAGGACATGTCGATCGATGTTACATTTTATTGAAAGTTATATTCTGAAAATATTTCATTTTGATCGAAAGTACCATTTTTGTAGCTATAGGCGCAGAACAGTGGCGTTATGGTTTTATATATTAGTCTTAATTTGACCATTACACTACAGATCAAGTAATGCAAAAAGGTACAATTTAAGGCGCATGATTTTATGAGCACATTTTGGAAAAATTTCTCAATTTTTTCAGCATTCGTCAACATTAAAAATATGAAATTGGTAACAAGAATATCAGGAGTCTCTTTTAAAGTCATCATTTCGTAAGTGCTATGGTCGATAGAATGCCCTTGTCAACAAATACAAGGTATCAATGAGTCAAATGCTGACTGAGGTTTTTCAAACTATTTGTTAGTCCATTATTAATACACCGAATTGTCGACAGATTTTTTCTGTTATTTACCGATCATGACCATGAGCACACGGCGGGTGAGACCGGTCGGCTGGGGATGCTCACTCCTCCATGTCACCTGCTCCCACCTATTTTATATTGTTTTATGGTTTTATGGTCTATTGATCTTGCATGCAATTCGTTATTGCAATATGTTTCATCAATATCTACCCCCATTTCCCAGTGAAAGACCGATAAACTCGCTTGTTTTGAATTTTATGCAATCCAACATAAAAATCAAAACAAGCAAGATAATCGGTCTGTAGAGAAGAATATCATTTTTAACGGTTCGAAATTAATCAAAATATACATGTTGGTTTAAGCATGTGTCTGCACTTAAAGAGTGAAAGGTAGACGATTGACCATTGCTTAAAAGTGGAGAAATTCTTCAAAAACAATTCTTTGTACATTCCCATGCGCCGCGTACGCGTTTGACGATGTCAATTATTATGTAGCGAACTCAATTAAAAAAATAAAATAAAAAAAACAAACACCAATCATATGTCCAAAAATAAGGCAACTTTGTGAAGACATTCATGTCTAACTGATTTATTTATGACTTCATAATTTCATAACTATTTTAATTGAGAAACAAATGCAATTAGAAAAATTACATTGAAAGTCAATACGAGTATATGAGGCATTATTAAATTGGTATTCATTTTTTGAAATTATCCATTTAAAGGAACATGGAAGAAATTATTATATGCATAAAACTTGTTTAGTACATGTTGAATGTTTTTCATGTTGTCTACCACTTTTTATCAGACCCACACGTTGCACTTCATCAGAATCACCGTTTTGATGTTTAAACAAATACTCTGGAAAATGTCATTGAATTGGCAAATCAGGAAAGGGCAAAAATCCACACCTAGAGCATCCCAATCTTTATTTTTAATTTACTGTAAGTTTGCTGTAAAAAATTCTGTTCACCATAAATATTTAATGAAAAATGTTCAACTTATACAGTGCTCGGATTCTAGTCAGAAGGTATCATGCACTTACTAGAATGTACCCACACTTCGCGTACTGTAGATCACTAAATTTTCGCAACACCTTATTTTCGCGAGGTAGTCATTAACTCTTGATTAGCGAGACAATATTTTAACGAATTATGGCTATTGCTCTGTATAATCTTTAGGAATACTATTATACGCGAAATTTTCGCGAGCACACTGTCTCGCGTAAATATGCGAAATAAAGTTCTCGCGAATAAAAAGTGATTTACAGTATATAGGTAAGTTTCTATGAAGAAAATAGTTGAATTTTTTTTAAAGATGCATGCATTCAATACAAATGTTTTCCCAAAATAACTTCACTACCCCCAATTTGATAAAAATATGTTGAAGGGAGCCGGTTTGGGTTTTAGTGTGTGAAAACAACAATTATAGAAAAACTAGCAATAGTAATACTATATGTTGCTTTCATTGACTTCAGTGTACATGCCAGGTTAGGGGAAAATCTATCATCCATTCATTATAGGGGGCCGTCTCAAAATACAGGTAAATAACTGTCTTATTATTCGATTTCAAGATGTGATCAATCGATTGGCTTGTGTGATACTTTGCATAAACACAGAAAGCGTTTATGCATAAAATTATCACGCCGAAATCGTTTATGCATAAAATTATCACGCAAGTCAATCGATTGACCATCGTCATGAAATCAAAACATCTGACAGTTATTCCTTATATTTGCATGCTCTTGATTCCGCCAATCCACGTGCTACAAGCCCCGTTTTTTTCTATTTGTCCCACCATACACGTTGTGATTTTTTTTAATCGTGCCTATTGATAAACCAAAACGTGCATGTAGAAATAAATTTCATTTACTATTCGTAATTTTTTCTCGGACAAAGACATTGAAAATGTAAATATTACAGGATAATTTATAAGACAATGTAAATTTTTCGCACTTAAACGCAATTTATACAAATTCTACAATAGAAATTTTGTTCAAATTATGATTTTTGATTGGTTATACTATACTGTGCAACATATGTAGGAAACACAAAATTCTACTGTCTTAGTTCCAGAGGGGCTCCTCAAAATTTCAAAATTAATGAAATTTCCGTTCTTCTAGAGTACTAGTAATGCACTGTATTACATATACAAGAAATATATACAAAATATTTTGATTGAGATATTCCTAAATTTAAATGTTTGAAATTGCAAGAGCTTATATGTAATACTCTTTCTTTTATAATATTATTATGACCCCTTATGTAAGAACTTTAATAAGTAAGTTAGTAAGTCTTTCATAACAAGTTCATATTTTAATTTATTACCTGTTAAATTTGCTGCCATTATTGCTGAGCCAGTGGCCAAGGCGTAGTACTGTCCTTTTGAAGGAGCCGGAATGCCGGAGTAGGACTGTATTTAGCCGCAAGTAATGAGGAAAGTGAAATTAATAACTATATACATTGAATGTATAACTATATAATATCACCATTAATGTAATTAATTGATATCAAAATCACTATTTAATGTCACCATAAATGTCAATAATTAATATCAATATTAATATCATTACTTGACATCACCATCAATGTCATTAAAAATATCAATATTAGTACTTAACATGACTACTTATGTAATTAACAAATATCAATATTAGTACTTACGATAACTACTTATATCATTGACAAATATCAATATTAGTACTTACCATAACTACCTATGTCATTAACAAATATCAGTATTAGTATCACTACTTTATATCACCATTAATGTCAATAATAAATATCAATATAAGTACATAATATTATACAATTATTGCTGTTTTGGAGGTCAATACGATGATTTAGACACGTGAGGAGTACAATATTCGATGAGCCCGAGGGCTTTTATGAAATTATTATGATATTTATTAATTACATCAGTGGTGATATCAAGTAGTGATACTAATATTGATATTCTTTAATGGCATAAATAATTTTATTATATGATGGAATAATTTCCCCATCTCCGATCGGCTGAGATCCAACAGTGTTAGAAAAATACGACGTTATATTGACCTACACGTCACCTTCCAGGTCGATACAAGGAATTATTGCAGGTCAATATTATGAATCATGTGACCTTCCAGGTCAATACAAGGAATTATTGCAGGTCAATGTACGGAATTATTCCTGTTCCATATTTCCTGTAACAATGCTTTTTTTTTTAATTTTCTCGTTAAATCTTTCAATTAATCAAAACAGTCTTGTAGGAGTTTGCTATCATTGAATCATATAATAAAACAGTTATTGCTGTTTTTCTGAGGTCAAAACGAAGATTTAGCCACCCTTGAAGTACAATATTCACTGAGCACAAATTGTACTCCTCATGTGTCTCAATCATCGTATTGACCTCACAAACAGCAATAATTGTAAAATATTATTATCACTACTTAATATCACCATTAATGTCTTTAACTTATATCAATTTTAGTATCACTAAGTAGTATATCCATTTATGTCATTAATTAATAACAATATTAGTATAAAAATAAAATACGCAGTTATATAATCATATACTGTTCGTTATCTCCATATGTTTCATGGAATGAGTAAAAGCTATTGTGTAAATTAGATGTCCACAACTGTGAGTGACACATTTTGCAAAATAAGACCTTCAAAATATTTCTTAATAAACTAAAAATATGGCTTTGTGAATAGATGTATACTTACATTGGTTCTTTTAAAGTTTTCAGCGGATATACACATGTCTTTCTCAAATCCACATCTTGATAGTACAACTAAAATAGAGTTTAAACTATAACTGTTTTTTAAATTACTTTTTAAAGTAAAATTTTTGATAAAGGCTTGTTTAAATATACATGCTAAAATCAATCTTTGCGAAATTCGAAGTGAACTTGAGGGGTGATCAAAAAGTTCGCTAACCATCTCTAGATCTAGATATACAAAGCCAAAATTCAGATTTAAAAAAAATTTGATACACACATAGCCATACACAAGTTCTATAAATAGCATATGCTAAATAAAGTTTTGCTCCTTGTGTGTGACGTCACAATGTAAAAATGACGTAACTATATATGTCACTTGTGCCGAAAATTTTTGTCTTATCCGTACTCATTCAACAAAAGACTGTAAAATCTATGGTATATCTTAGAAATCCATTTGAAGTAGCATATAATAAATTTTACACAGTTTATTAATACAAATGACTGCCTATAAATACATTCAATGATTGGATTTATTGTTTTAATAAAGTGAGGCAAATGGTTAAAAATGATACTTATTAGGTAGTCCAGTGGAAGCAAGTTTGAAAAGAGATGTTCTTTTAATTAAGCAAATTGCTATCAAAAACCTCCAATTTACATTTTGAAAAATAGTTAAAATTTTCAACAATGATATAATTATTAGATACCTAAGATATCGTTTACTTTAGGTTTTAAACATATTAGATATGATAAAAAGGAAGGATATGGAGATCACAAACAGTATTTAATCTAAAAGTCCATAAAACAATACAAAATAAGAGCAGAGCAAACACGGACCTTCGAAGCATCAGAGGTGAGATCTGGTGCCATGGAGGAGTGAGCATCCCCTGCCGACCGGTCACACCCGCCGTGTGCTCCTTGTCATGATCAGGAAATAACGGAAAAATCCGTCGTCGATTCAGTGTATAAATAATGGACAAACAATTAGTAAGAAAAACGTTAGTCAGCATTTGACTCAATGATAAATTGTATTTGCTGACAATGTCATTGTATAGATACCAAAAGAACTTAAGGCTGCTGACAAGGTTATTGTATAGATACCAAAAGAACTTAAGAAATGATGACTTTAAATGAAACGGCTGATATTCCAATTTATCAACTTGCTTGTCAATAATTTACCTCGTTTTAGAAATTATTCATACGTAGAGCAAGCTCTTGCGTATCGAATCGATTTATATATATATATATATATATATATATATATATATATATATATATATATATATATATATATATATATATATATATATATATATACTATATATCCCCTACCGGAAAGTGTAATCTAGTTCCCACTCAAAATTGAATTATCACAATTTCATTAAATATCATTAAAGCTATACAAAACTCAAAACTCAAATTTTGATCTGTAACTTATCAATTTCAGATCAAAAACTAAAAATCAGCTCAATGTCTACAAGCGTTTATAAAAATCAGCTCAATGTCTACGAGCGTTTATAAAAATCAGCTCAATGTCTACAAGCGTTTATAAAAATAAATGCTAAAAACTCTTCTAAATTCAAAAGGCCATAATTTTGCAAAAACTGTAATTAGTTTAAATTAATACGTAATAGAACAATATGTTTTGGAAGAATGCTTTCCAATACGTGTAATGATAAATCTAAAAATGCATATTTTCTTTATTTAATCAATTATTCAATCTTTAAAATATGAAGGAAAGGGAAATAACTCCTTCTAATGTCTCTTCATTCAGGCCTTTGCTTTATTGTACATCTAATGTAAAATAGTTTCCCTAATATTCACAATTCAAAAGTATCTTGTAAGTAGGAAGTATTAAGGAACATTCAGCATCAGAATTATGCATTTTTACCAGTTTTTACATATATTTCATAATACTGTTTACAAAAAATGTGCGATTTTTTTATTGACATACACTTCTGTTTATTTATGTTTCGCATATTAAATAATATTGTGACTTATACATTTTTTGCAATAATTTGAAAATTTAAAGTAAACAGTATTGAATGAAAATAAAATGCAGTTTTTGTACTTTGAAACATTAAAATTGTGTGGGTGGAAACACCTTGAAATCTTTACAAATAAAGACAGCGAGACGGACGGACAGACAAATGAATGGAAAGACTAAGAGTAAATCTATGGTCCCCTCCTGTTTCACTGGTAGCGGACTAATAATTATGTTTTAACAAAATAAAACACATTTTGAGCCAAGCAATCAAAAGCATCTGCTTACAGGGGTGGGATCAGGTACCATTTAGCAGAAGGCATCCCCACTGAAACATGACATATGTTTTTGTCGTGTTCATACTTACGGTCATCACAGAGAGTCCCGGTATACTCCGCTGGACAGATACACGTATCATGTGGCCTACAAAATCCATTGTTTTTACATGGATTCGGAGTACACTTAGGAACACCCTCTACCTCCTATATAAAGAAGAAAAAATATCTTTCAGGAGAAGATAAGATACAATTCTATATCAAGTCGGATATTGATACTCATTATATTATTAGCTATCTCTTCCCCAGGCTATTTTTTCTATAAACTATCGATGACAAGAGTTGCCTACCTTTGGCTTAGATCTGGATCCACTCCTTCTGTGAATGTTTAAAAAGTCAGGACGCACTGCCATCTTATCCTGGTAAGAGTCGGTATCTAGCCCTCCCTGTTTAACAATAAATTGACATTTATTTATAAAAAGCCCACTATTTGAATTTAAATGTACAGAATTAAAATTCTCAGTTTGAGACTGAATGTCGTCAGTAAAAGGGACAACTGTCACAAAATTGTGTGTAAAGAATGAAGATATATCACTGCATTCCCCTTTTTCGATGTTCGGTTGATGAGGGCTCTGCTATAACGACTTCCCTTCCTTACTACTAGCAGTGATCTTCATATTGTTTATTCTACCACTATTATTGCTGAAATAAAGAACTGCCGCGGACTATATTCTAGCATACGTATATAACGAACCTCATCAAAAAATTATCAGATCAGGAACACGTATCAAACCTGTACAGTTGAAATAAATATTTGACTCTAAAATGAAGTACTTATTTAGACTCATCGATGTATCGTCTTTCATAGTCGAAACACAGTGTAAATTGCATAAACTAGATGATGAATGCATGTTATAGCTAAGCGAGGCTGTTCCACGGACCTCCCTACACCATATTTTAACTTTGTGATTTTAGTGATAAAGCAATAAAATAGAAAACGGATTTGTTATTTTACATTCATAAAAATACTTAATTATTGGTACAATTAAATATACTATATAAAAAGCTATTTTAATGCAACAACAGTTTATTCGTCCGCCTTCCGTACCAGGTAAACAAAAAAAAAAAATTTTTTGGTTTTAAATGAAACGCCATAATCGAGACATGCTAAGCCAATTCCTTTCTCTATAGAAAAAAATTCAAGAGCTCTAATGGACTAACAATTGGTATGAAAAACGTCAGTCAGCATTTGACTCAATGATAAACTGTATTTGCTGACAAGGCATTGTATCGACCATAGAACTTACGAAATGATGACTTTAAACGAGACTGCTGATATTCTTGTTTCGTCAACTTAGAAATTGTTCATACGTAGAGAATGCTCTTGCGTATTGTATTGTATAAAATAAAATTGCGTAAAATAATTCAATTTTAATTTTGTTCCTTTTAATCTACACTACCAACCAGACCCAACCTGACACAAAGCAGTCCTAGAAAGCAGTCCTGGGACCGCTGTGGGACTACTCGGGTTCCGCTATGGGACTGCTCTACCGCTGTGGGACTACTCGGGTTCCGCTATGGGACTGCTCTACCGCTGTGGGACTACTCGGGTTCCGCTATGGGACTGCTCTACCGCTGTGGGACTACTCGGGTTCCGCTATGGGACTGCTCTACCGCTGTGGGACTACTCGGGTTCCGCTATGGGACTGCTCTACAGCTGCTACTCGGGTTCCGCTATGGGACTGCTCTACCGCTGTGGGACTACTCGGGTTCCGCTATGGGACTGCTCTACCGCTGTGGGACTACTCGGGTTCCGCTGTGGGACTGCTCTAGAAAGCAGACTCAGCAGTCCCAACTGTCCCTGGGACTGTTTCTGGGACTCCTTTGTTCACTTATGTGTGAAAAAGGTTCTGAGTGACATGACAGTCCCCCTTGCCTATTCTGAATTTGCAGGCTCTCTGTTGTTTCGGTTACTTGCAGCTTACAGGCGTTTGAATTATTTAAAATGCAAGGATTTAAGTCGAGATTGTTACAGTTAAATAATATTTTCAAGGACAGTTGTTATGGGTCAGAATAACCCTAAATGCCAGCAAAGATCAATCACACAGTTTAAACTTAACAATAATTTATTTACAGTAATATACAAATCATTAAGTACAAACTTAGCAAAAATCTAAAAATTCATACATCAGAGTGTCCGTTGCTGCACACAATGTCCCAGTGAAATTATATCCCAGTAATACCTCAATGATGCTTATACGACAATAGTATCTATGCATCGAATTGACAGGATATTTATACAGTAATATAAATCTAGAATATTCTAGAAGTTGTAAGTACATGATATTCCTGGAAAGTTCTGGACATGAATAAAGTTCAAGAATGTTCTAGAAAAAATGACTAAACATGTTGACCACTCTGGAATGTTCAAGAAACTTAATGTTACTAATAATATACATGATGAAACAATACAAATACAACACACCTCACAACACCTCCCCCCTTAAAAAGTTTGAATGTCAATGAAAAACTTAAATTGTAAAACATATGTACATGATGAAACAATACAAATACAACACACCTCACAACACCTCCCCCCTTAAAAAGTTTGAATGTCAATGAAAAACTTAAATTGTAAAACATATGTACATTCTGTTATGGGTCAGAATAACCCTAAATGCCAGCAAAGATCAATCACACAGTTTAAACTTAACAATAATTTATTTACAGTAATATACAAATCATTAAGTACAAACTTAGCAAAAATCTAAAAATACATACATCAGAGTGTCCGTTGCTGCACACAATGTCCCAGTGAAATTATATCCCAGTAATACCTCAATGATGCTTATACGACAATAGTATCTATGCATCGAATTGACAGGATATTTATACAGTAATATAAATCTAGAATATTCTAGAAGTTGTAAATACATGATATTCCTGGAAAGTTCTGGACATAAACAAAGTTCAAGAATGTTCTAGAAAAAATGACTAAACATATTGACCACTCTGGAATGTTCAAGAAACTTAATGTTACTAATAATATACATGATGAAACAATACACATCTCACAACACCTCCCCCCTTAAAAAGTTTGAATGTCAATGAAAACATATTATTAAAATAAATTTATGTACATTAATACAAAATCTAATTTGTTCATGATACTCTGGACAAGGCATCTGCAATAACATTGTCTTTGCCTTTGATATGCTTAATTGTTATGTTGTATTCTTGTAACAACAAACTCCATCTAGTCAGTCTTTGATTCTTGTTTGACAATTTATGCAAAAATGTCAGGGGGTTGTGATCCGTATATACAAGAATTGGATGCAAAGTAACATTCAGATAAACATCAAAATGCTGTAAGGCTAACAACAAAGCAAGGCATTCCTTTTCAATGGTGGAATACTTTTGTTGACATTTTGTAAGTTTCTTTGAAAAATAAGAAACAACTCTATCTACATTATCACTATGTTCTTGAAACAAAGCTGCCCCGATTCCAACATCACTAGCATCAACAGTAAGCTTAAATTGCTTAGAAAAATCTGGAGTTGACAGAACTGGGTTGCTCATAAGGATAGATTTGATTTTGTGAAACGATTTTTCACAGTCCTTTGTCCATTCAAAGTTTACCCTCTTTTGTAAAAGATTTGTAAGTGGGCTAACTACTGAGGAAAAATTTGGACAAAATTTTCTGTAAAACCCAGCCATGCCCAAAAACCTCATTAACTCTTTCTTGTTTGTAGGAATCGGGAACTTTGCAATAGCTTCCACTTTAGCCATTATGGGTGTAACATAACCTTGACCTACTTTATGACCTAAATACTCTACATAAGCATGACAAAATTCGCTCTTCTCAAGGTTCACAGTTAAGTTTGCTTTAGCTAAAATGTCAAACAAAGCACGCATGATTCGGAGATGTTCGTCCCATGTGTCGCTGTATATGATAACATCATCAATGTAGGCCTCGCATCCCTCAAGGTCTTGAAGAAGGGAGTGAATCATCCTTTGGAATGTAGCCGGTGCGTTTTTCATGCCAAAAGGCATTACTTTATACTGGTAAAGTCCATCTGGTGTAGCAAAAGCAGATATTTCTTTTGCTCTTTCTGTTAACGACACTTGCCAGTAGCCTTTCAACAGGTCAAATTTACTGACAAATTTCGCGTTTCCAATATTGTCAATACAGTCATCGATTCTGGGTATTGGATAGGAATCAGATTTGGTAACAGAATTCACCTTTCTAAAGTCTGTACATAATCGGTAGGTACCGTCCTGTTTTGGTACAAGAATACACGGTGAGCTCCAATTACTTTTACTAGGTTCAACAATGTCATTGTCCAACATATACTGCACTTCCCTTCTTAGGTACTGCAATTTTATTGGATTGAGACGGTACGGATGTTGTTTGATAGGCAGGGCGTCGCCAACTATAACATCATGACAAGCTGCATTAGTTTTCTTTGGAACATCCGAGAAGATTTGATGATACTCATTCATCAAGTTTTTAACTTGTTCTTTTTGGTGAATGTTCAAATGTCCAAGTTTGGCATCCAAATTAGCCAAAACTTCTGAGTTTTGCAAACGAACACTCTGATTACAATCTTTCTCATTCATTTCTACACTCGTATCACTTTCAATACAATTTTGAACAGTCTTAGCATTGGCTAAAGTGGAAACTGGTTTTACAGAATTTCGGTCACACCTTTCAAAATACTCTTTTAACATGTTAATGTGACAAACCCGTTTCTCTTTACGTCGACCTGGTGTCTTAACTACATAGTTAACATCACTGATCTTGCTTTCAATTTCATAAGGGCCATAAAATCTGGCCTGTAAAGGATGACCAGGAATAGGTAAAAATACAAGAACCTTATCACCTGGCTTAAACACCCTATTTCTGGCATCTTTGTCATACCACATTTTCATTTTCATCTGAGAACTCTTCAAATTTTCTTGTGCTAATTTACAAGCATTGTAAAGTTTTTCTTTGAAATCAGACACATAATCTAAAAGATTAAGATCACTAGTCCCAGTCAGCCACTTTTCCTTCAACAATTTCAAAGGACCCCTAACCGTATGACCAAACACCAATTCAAAAGGACTAAACCCAAGAGACTCCTGGACTGCCTCTCGTGCAGCAAATAGTACAAGATGAACCCCTTCATCCCAGTCTTTTTCATACTGGTAACAATAGGTCTTTAGCATTGTTTTTAGGGTTTGATGAAAACGTTCTAGCGCTCCCTGGGACTCAGGATGATAAGCAGTTGATCTATACTGCCTTATACCCAACTCATGCATGACTTGCTGGAACAACCCCGACATAAAATTTGAGCCTTGATCCGACTGAATTGCCTTTGGTGCTCCAACAAAACTGAAGATCTTGGTTAGGGCCTTAACTATGCTCTTTGCCTTTATATTCCTAAGAGGTATGGCTTCGGGG